TGGATGCTCACGGGCCCTGCACGACCACAGGCGTGCTTCATGGAATTAACCTGGACAGACTTCTAAGGCAGCTTTTCAGCCACAACGCCGCTTGCATTTCTTTTTCTCTGGAGCACCAATAGCCGTGACTGGGGGTGAGGTGTGTGAGGAGTGAGGGCGTTTGCTTGGGAAAGCCTCATACTCGACAGGGAAGAAGAGACTTTTCAGATAACTCCAAGGTTAATTTAAGACTTGGCTACGAAATCAAGACTTTGAATAATACATGAATTGTAACAATTCCACCAGGGTATGGTGACTGGGAAGTGGTTACTTCCTGCCCTGGTTCTATCATCTTATTTTCATCTCCAGAACAGAAGCCCTAGGTTTGCCTCTTCCCCCAACATGGAGCTTATAAAGTCACAACAGTGACATCCGCACACATGCACACGGCTGCACATTCTGGTCTCTGGTAACTGACCTTGGAGATAAGAGACTGAAACTCACTGTCTACATATCTCCAACTCAGTAGTAGAAAAAGCTTGCTTTTCTTTTTCTCTGAAGGTGATCAACCCTTCTGGGAAGTGCATGGCCGTTCCCCCCGTGGAAATACTCGAGGCTGATTGCAGCTCTCAGCTCCTCTTCTGTCAATGAGTAAAGGCTTCATGCTTTGTCCACGGTCAATGCTGGGATGACTCAGGCTATTGACAGATCCAGCACAGGTTGCTGACCTGGACGGACAGATACCAAGTTTGAGCTCATCCCTTGTCCCCACAAAAGTAGGAAGGAGGGAAACCCCAAATATATTCAGTTCTTGAGAAGCAGCAACAATCTTCCTGTACCGATGCCATCGGTGACAACAGCACACAGTGAAGTGTCCTCAAGGCCATTGCTTCACAGTTGAACATGAGAAAAGTGAAGACATGAGGGAAATTCAGTGTCTCGAGAAGTGCTTTAGTTTAGACAGCAAAGATCAGATTTCTCACAGATTACTCAGAAACAGGTCTGTTAAATATCAGATATATAGTACCCAAACCCAATTACTTGTAAGAGGCAGAAAGATGAAACCAAGTCTCACATGCCATGTAACTCTTTAAATACATTGAGATGGATGGAAGCAGGGTCTCCCTGCTGCAACAGCAGAACACTTGTCCCTCTGCAGCAGCCATTTGTGTGAGGGATATCTAGGTAGTGACCCCTCTTCAGACAGGGCTGCTTTGCTGAAGGTCCACAGGCTCGGCAGTGCAATGAATTCCTGTGGGCCACCACCTCCATTCCACACCACTCTTTCAGAAGGAATTTATTAATTTCTAACGTCCCAGCATATTCTGCTCATTTTCTATCAGGACTTTGGGTCCATCAAGGTTAGTGTTCTGAAGGTCTTAATCCTTACTGAAATCAAGTGGAAGAGCTACAGTTTGTCAGGGTGGTGATGGCACTAAGTAAGGTTTCTGTCATTTGAAGTTGCAGTTATTTTGGTGAAAACCCTTGCCAGGGAGGCTGCCTTTGTGGGAAGGAACAAACACACAGTAATGTTTGCACTGCACATGTGCATGTGGAGGAGCTTTCAAGGACACAAGCTGCTCTACAGAGCAGGTCAGGCAAGTGATAAGACCATGGCACCATACAGACATTTGCAAAAGCGTTGTATTTCTCAGAGACCTGAAAAGCCACAAATAGCCCTAGGGACTCCAAGGGGACACATCAGCGATGGAGTGACAGATGGTCCATCTTCTCCTACCAGTTTGGTAATGAAAAGAGGGTGATAGGAATAACAGATAATCCTGATGATACACAGTTTAAGACACAGTACTATCCCATCCCTCATCATGTGGAGGATCAACGCTTTGTTACTCTAGGGAGTTGGTCACCACTTGCTTGGTCTTACAGGGGTCAGCAGAGGCTCCCTACCCTTGGCATGAAGTCTAGAAATGAGCAGCTACCATAGCTCTAGATGATGAAATGTTTTGAAAGTATCTATTGATGCTGCCCACCTTTTCTATCTTGCAAAATAGTAATTGTAACACTTCCCAGAATTCCTCCAAAATTCCTGGCCTGGTACTAGCTGCCAGCCATTTCAGTTCCTTTCTATGAAAAAGGAGCAATGCAGCCCTGTCACTGAGAACTTGACATGTTTTACACCAAACTCATTACCCCGCTGTGCTTCGCTATAGCACTATCTGAACGTAGGCATTAATATCCCTGATCCGACTGAATCCTGTGTAGTCTATCGCAGGAATACATATCTGAGCTCTGGTGTTGCATTGCCATATGCAGTGTAAGGAACCTTCCATATGGTTTATGAAAAGTGGTTACAGCACACGTGCACCAGGCAGTTTTCAAAGTAAAACAGATCTGTTCGTTTTTATTTTCAAAATACCAAAGCAGTAAAATCATGTAATTGAGTAATCACTTGCCAAATTTCCTTTTTTAATCTAATCTATTTTGAGTTACATCAGAGCCAAAATGCAAATTAAATTGGTAAGGTTCCAAGGTTTTTTTTCCCCTTCCCTTTTAGAAAACACAATTTAAGGTAATCATAAGTAAAGAAATTTTAAAACCCCATTTGTTTTGTATGCTGTAAACTTTGGAAAACATGTTTCAGCCTGAAGTAAATTTTCATAGGTAATAGGTTACATAGAAGTCTTATGTAAATTTTGATCTCTTCTTAACAACCCCAATGTTCATTTTATAAAATTTGATTTGAAAATAATGCCATTGTTTTAAAAGAGGCTGGAAGGGTGAGAAACTAAGCAAAAAAAAGTATACACTAACAAGGTGCACATACACTCATTCAGCTGTGGCTACTGTATTAGAGAAGGAGAGATTACTGAGATACCTTGTTTTCAGATTCAAGGAATTCAATTTTTGGAGTGAGTCGTTGCAGGAGCATTAGAAGCCAAACTCACTCACCAGGCTGGAGAAACTCAGGAGCACTTGACTACGGGGTGAGACAGATCCTCCCCATCCCACCAGAGCCCCCTGAAGTCACGCATCTCAGCCGATGAACCAGCCGAGAGAAAAAGGCAACCTTCCAGAGAACCCGCTGCTGGAAACCTTTGCTCTTTGGGTTGCAGATGTTCAGATTAAGTCTCTCCTTACCCACAGGCAGATCTTGTGAAAAGCCATGTGACGTCCTTGGTTGCCTTCTACCTCAGTGTTACCATCTGTTGAAAAAAATGGCACCCACTCCAGTCGTGTCTGTTTTCATGGTTTTTCTCTCAAAAAAACTTCCTCAAACTGGGGGCTGCTCGTGACGCCTTCCAGCTCCTTTTTAAGGCTGCAAAGGCACAACTTTAATTCAAGTCAAAATACTTCAAAGCAGCTGAACAGTTTTCCCCTTGCTGGAACCCCCTGCCGCTAATGACACACTCCTGTTGAAAGACAGTGGTTGAGAGCAGGGACACTCCAACCCTCAGCATGCAAAACGCAGCAGAAGACCTAGAGAAGAGAGAGATGGGGAATTAAAAGGCTGACAGCTTGTAAAAGGCTGACCAACCTTGCAGCTGGCCTTCTAAAGGGGTTCTGGCCTCTCTTCAATGTGCTTTTCTGACCCCCTCCCCAGCAGCGCCACCAGCATTCAACATAATTTGTTGAACCTGGTTTGGTGAGCTGAAACTGAGAACTAAATTGTTTTTTGTTTGGCTGCTGTGAAAGGACGATTTTTTTACCAGTTTAACTCCTCGACTCCTCACTCAAACTGCAAGGTGACAACCAGTGTCAGTTCAAGGGAAGCGAGAGCGGTGTGTAGCTAGGGGAACAGGGACACTATTTTTGACAGCTCACAGCCCAAATTAGCTACAATATCAAACCACACCCTCAGGTCTCTGATGGCTATGGAGACTAGAAAGACAGCACAGAGGGCAAAGGAGAGACAGGAAAAGCGCGCAATCAAAACAGGCCAGGGATAAAGAGAATACACACATACTACATGCAAAGCAGGGGCTGGACTGTGAGTGTTGATCGTGGGAACAGATGGAGAGATAGAGAGAGAAATGACACCCATTACACTCAAAATCATATGTATGAGGGGGGGAGAGGGGAGGGCAGAGAGAGAGCACAGTGGGAGAGAGAGTTCACAAGCCAGGAAATAGATTTGCAGAAAATAATGGTTTAAGGAAAACTGGAATCGGAATTTAGCATTCACTGGAAAATCATAGCCTGGTCAGATCAGTGCAGTTAGAAAAGAAGGATCCTTTGAAAACTGGCTTAATAGTTTCTATTTTCATGTTTGACATTTGCAAGGAGAACCTGCTCTTTGTATGTTGCATAGTCACATAAAGAGTTAAAAGGTACAGCCTAACATCAGCATTGACCAGTCCCATAAACATTTATTCTATCAATTAGAGGCAGAAGATTGCACAGAATAAACTAAAACCAAATCAAATAAAGCATTCTTCCAGTACTGTAGAGGATTTAGATGCAAACAAAAGGATCTTGATACTTCCACAGCTTTCCACTGGCACAGGAACCAGAAAAAATATTCATTTAGATCTGGCTATAAACGTTTATCTTGTGTGGGAGGTCTTAGTATTGTAATATGTAATAGAACCTTGGTATTTTTCCAATCAAGTCTTTCCACTTCCATTTACATATATTTAATTGTAAATATTCATTTTCCTACCTGAAGCACTTTAAATAAATATACAATAAACACAGTCTACATGGAAGGGGAGTGAATAGCTGAGGAGACTTATGATGAGCCCCAGCACTGCTCCAGCCTCAACATCGCTGGTGAGGAGCAATGCAGGACGATCCCTCCTGAGAGCTTGTGGGGGGTCTTGTAGATTGAGTCGGTGATCTCACCCTTTTGTCTACTGCACTGGGGTCCTCCCTCCCAACCAGTAAATCATAGCTGACACAAACTGGCATCTACACCAGCAGAAACAGTGATGGCTGGCCAAGTGATGCCCTCTTACACATCACAGAGAAGTGGATTTCTTCAGAGCCCAACCAACTTCAGTTTGCAGTCTTGTCAATACACACTCCTATTTTGCAAGCACTGAAAGACACAGTCCATAGAATGAGCAGACACAGTAACCCCATCTTTATTTAAAACAGAACTGCATAACGCACAGAAACTCTCAGGTGAGATGTCCTCTGACCTCGACAGTGCTGCTCACCATGGTCAGCATGGGCAGTGCTGCCCTCAGGGGGACCCTGCTTCGGCCCATGCAGCAGTGAGGTGTCAGGGAGCCTGGAACTCCTGAAGCTCTCCCCAAACATTCCTCAGGTGCATGGCAGCTTTCAGCAAGCACAAACCCATGCCTCGTACAGATGGGAGCTATGGGGGCACTGGAGGAACGCTTTTGTCCACTGCTGTCACCTAATGCAGTCCTGATGTAGGGCACAACACCAGCTGATGCATACAAAAGCCTCAGTGTGTGACAGAAAATGAGTATCTTTTTTTTTGTTTTTGGGTGACAGCACATTTTAGAAGTACAGTTTTCAAGTTGGGATACAGATTGAGGACAACTGGAAGAAGGCTGGAAGCTATTTTTTTAAGATGAAGTTAGAAAATCAAATTGATAGAATGGGTAACAGTGTGGATAAGCACGAAAAAAGCAAGGTCTTATCAGCTGTTCTCCCAGGAGATACAAGCTAGAAAGAAGAGAGAGACTTTTACACACTTGAACCACTCCTCTGGCATGATCAGAGGCCGTAAGTTACAATGCAGAGTACAGGTGAAGTATGAGACTTTGTCCATTAGTCATACTTGAAGATTTCCCACTTCCCCAAGATATCCTGCACCAAATTAACTGAATATTACTGCAGTCATAGTGACATACTGCTACAGTACCTCACTTTGACATACTGTTTTATTAGCTAATAACACCAAACTGGTGAGCACTGCTTATCTGCTAAGAGACCATTTGTACTACTTTGCATGAAAAAGTGATACTTCATTGCTACAGTACATTAATAGCAAAATTAAAATTTATTTCCAAGTAACTGGATCCAATGCCAAACTAAGAAACTAATGTTACCTGTTGACTTATGGGGCAATGTGGGAAAGATGCAAAAGGCAACACCTTATGTTTCATGCTTGCCCTAATGAACCATGATTTGTTGTGGGGTGTATCTATAAAGTGAAAATAAGGTAAATGGTATCATAATACTGACCAAGTCAAGTCAGAAGAACTACAGGAAGTAAGACAGTACTTCTGGAGAACAAAACAAATGGAGTGCCTCTTCTGAAAGTCACATAGAATTTTTTTTGCATAGATTAAAACTTTTATCATAATGGATCATAAACCGTAAAGCAGTACTTGTGCCTATCAGAAAATTCTATTTTATGTGTGAATTTGAAGTCTTATACATGAGGACAGATTGAACTCTTTTACTACATTATTGGAGACTTATCATAACCAGAATGCTTTTTTTCTTGAGAAGATGAAAAGTACAGAGATAAGCAAGGAAATAAAGACTTAAGTTTTAACCAATAATATTTTTATGTGGTTATCAGAGGAATGTAATAATTAATCTTTTAATCATTCTAAATATGGTGTGAAATCATAATATCTCATCTTTTCTAGCCTCAACCTGCCATTCTTGATCTGAATTACAAACAATAAGAAAGGAGATGATTTAATGAGCAACTTTGTCATGTTGCCATTTTGCCTTAGTCAAAGGCAAATATCTAGTTTTGCCTCTAAACTAAAATGGAACAGACTTATGTTTCAACTACGCTCACAACTGAGGCAGATAAATGGAAAACTTAGGGCAATTTTAAAGCTAGAACCAGTGTCTTCACATTTTCACAGAGACATAATCAAATACACACTGTTAGGAAGAAACCAACAATGATTTACTAGAAAATAAAATAATTTTGTGAAGAAACACACATGTATGAAGTTTAAACAAAGCTAAATCCAAAATGAAAAATTTCACTCACAATAGCAATAGGTATGCTCTTATTATGAAAGAAAAAAAATGTCAGCATGATTTAATCATACTCTATAAATAGGCACTTCAATAAAGTATATATTTACACTGGCTTTCTGGATGCTAGGGCATCACAAAGTAGAATGGCTTTATTACAATGGATGGAAGATGGCAACTACTTAGAACCCAGTGCCAACATGGATTATAACAAATCCAGTGAGTATTTTGTTTTTCAATTATTCATAGAAAATTTAATCCTGATTAAGTATCCTTGGGCAGGAATTCATGGGTAGTTGATGACTGAAACCAACATTTATTTGAAATGCTTCTGTTAATTTAATCTGTGTATATGGCTTAATTATGATTGAATCCTCAATGTAACAGAAATGAATTATATCAGGATTAAAATTCTAGTACCACATCACCCATTCCATTTTCTTTGCCTTTTTTTTCCTCCTTTAAAAGATGCAAGGCTGCTGTTTTAATTACCTTCATGTTGCTATGTACTCCAAGCCTCAAAAACTGTTCAAACCTTGGTTACTAGATGAAATTTTTAGTTACATTTTCTTTTTTTTTTTTTAAAAGGAAGACGTAAACCCTATTTACATTCCCATTAGGATTTTAACCAGTATGAACATTAGATGCAAAAAAAGGCTTTTCTTTTATACTCATGATAAAGGAAAGTTTCTTGCAGACAGTTGTGAACATTTTACATATGTTTTCTAGATGATTCTCCCTTCTTTCTTTCCCCATCTTCTACACTGCAATGCATTTTCTACACTAAAATGCATTTTCTCTAAAGCATAAAAATACAAAACCCCTTTTAGTCATCGTTATGCATCACACCAGTTTCACAACTGTCCTATTTAAAACTTGTTTGAGCATGTAGATGTTTTAAGAACTCCATTTTATAAGACCTTCAAACCTGGTATTGACACAAAGTAGTGGCATTTTTGGTGTCCGTGAATGGGAGAGAAAAGATTCATTGTACTCTTCTGTGATACAGCTCAGCACCACTTGTTAAAGAGTATCTATAAAACTCTTCAAATTATGGATTTTTACACTCCACAATATTTTTAACACATTAATCTAGAAATCTTGTCAGACTAAAGGTCTGTGAAGTGCTTTGATATTATCACTCAGTTTTCCAGTGAAACCAATGTATCATACACTTGTGACAAAAATATCTGTATATTCAAGTCATTATTGCACATTTATTACATAATGTATTCTTCCTAAACATCTCAGAAGTGATGTCGATTTTTATGTCCAGAGGATATTGTTAGTGGCAATGTCACTGATGACAGTGATGATACTTCCCAATATAGACTATGAGATAGAAAAAGTCTGTAGAGGATAACCATGGAGATGCACTGACAGAGGATAACACCTATGGTAATAATCTAGAGACAAAAAAAAAGAGAGAAAGAAATAGTAAGTGAAAAAAAAACCCTCTCACTAAACAAGCCACAATAAATTTCTATCAGCATGAGTGCTTGAGGTTTAACTTTAAACCATTTAATACTGCTGCAGTTACAAAAGATTTGAACATGCATTTTAAGTTCAGGAATCAGACTCACACACCTGGGCGTTTTTAAATCAGTAGATAGCCCTGGGCAAGTCACATAACCCTTCTGGCAGTCTCTGTTCTGGGGAATTTCAGACTTGCAATTCACCACCCATGCAGTTTCACAAGCAGAGGTGATGTTTAGATATTCTATTCTTACAACAAACAGAGTGGGGGAAAAAAAAAAAAAGCTTGGAAACACTGCACTAGCACAATCACAGAGCCGATTTATCAATTTCACTTAGCAAGATCTCTTTCAGTTCAAGTCTCTTCATCTGCAAAAGCTGTGTAAGGCTGTATTTATTGAATGCCTAAAGGTGTAGCTTGTTTCTGAGAAAGCACAAGTCTTCAGTTTATGTATAGGCAGTCATTTGAAATATATGTTTTTCTTAAATAAGTACGGTATTTATTGATTGTGCATTTTATTGTATTGAGGTGCATTTGAAGAAGCAAATACGGCTGAATTATCATAGTGTATGAATATAATGGTTAAAGTTGCTCAAATGCAAGAGCAGAGTAATTGTAGTGTTCCTTTAGTAACCTTAAAATACTGCAAAAATACTACTTTACTGATCCTACCTCTAGAGACTCTCCTCCTGCCCTGAGGATGTTTTCATCAAGCAAAACAAAAAGTCTCTTCATTAGTAACTCTAGAGGAATCAATTTTTTTCCGCCTAGATTTCCATTTTTTTTTTGTTGTAAATCAAACACAGAATTTAATTATTATTTATATATAATAAAACTTTTTTTTCCCCCTTACATATCCTCTACACAAATAAAAGCTCATTTTCTGAATATATTTGCATACAAATGGACAGATGTTATAAGCATAAAGAAAAGAAGCAAACCCTATGCTGGAATGAGGTAGTCAATCACATGAGAATAGTGGTGCACTTCATCTGAACATAGCAGGCTGCACACACAGAGTTCTCCAGTTCCCAATATGTTTAAGCAACCAAGAAACTCAGTGAGTCCACCTTTGTTTTTAACTGTTTAGAGCTTAGAAACCAAACAACATATTTGGACAGACTTCTTGATCTAAAGAATACAGTTCAGCTACAGGTTCCCTGACCTATTTAGCCACATGAAGCTTTTAAAGGATGAAGACTAAAAAGCAAACAACAACAAAAAAATCCACTGATTTATCTTTCTACTCCCTTTGTTAAAAGAATCTCCAAGGTGTTTTTAATTAAAAGCAAACAAGCAAACAATAAAACAAAACACCCCCTCCACATTTTCCTTTGACTTAACAATCTCCCCCTCTCCCTCCCTTAACCTAGAAATGACTACCTTTAGATGATTCGAGCCCTGTGTGCCTTTGTAAAATATGACTCACATTAGCATCAATGAGAGCTGTGTGACTAAGACTTTTCAAGTTGCTTTGGGGTCATAGGATTAACAGCCTAAGAGCATGAGTTTGCTAACAAACATTAAACATGAAGAACAACTACTATTCAAATTTCATCTCTTTTATCTTGCCTGTACATACCTTTTCTCTTTGATATTCTCTGAATATTACAGTGATGGTTGCAAGACATGGGTGGCACAGAAACCAGAGAATGCAGGCCTAAAAAAGAAGATGAGTGTAAGTTGTAAAATGACTACATGCCAGCTTAGAAGAAAGAGATGACAGTTACAAGAACTACATTTACATTTCTGTCTATTTTATGAACCCATTGTTTAATTTTCAATCAACATAACGAAAACCACACAATGAAAGGTGGGATTTCTATTTTAAAAAGCTCTATACTGCTTGTCAAATTAAAATGCCTACTTCAGAGTATGATGACAGGGTGCAATGTAATCAAATCAGACACTAACTTTCTATGGAAAGTGTTTAGTGCTTCAGTCAACTGCACACCACGATTATATTTACAGACAAAAGGATCAGTTTGCTTGATGTAACCCATACTTTGGCAAAGGTGATGTAGAACTCCCTTTTCAGTGTGCTTCTCTCCACTGTGATAATCTGGTACAGCCCAGCAGCCAGGGACAGAGCTAGGCAGACTCTGAGGCCAATGAGCAGCCCGCTCGCCAAGCCATGGTGCGAATGGTAGCTGTGGTGATTTGTATCTTCAAACTGCTCCCAAATTAACAAAATGCTCTGAAAAAGAACAACAGCAAAGTGCATTTAGAGTAAACCAGGTTACATTAACTCTCAACTGACCTTCCCATCACAGACTAAGTTATGTGGTAATGCTCCACTCTACTTGTTAGGGACTGCCATGCTAAGCAAAAAAACCCCAACAAACCCTAGTCAGAAATGTTTTTTCTGTGACCTATTACTTCAACTGCAACTGGGAGGAACAGAGTCTCACTTCTTGGATTCTGTAACTTTTAGAAAGCGTGACAAGTTAAAGTTTACTATCATTTGGATAGAGGGAATGTAGCACCTTAGAAAAAAATCTGAAATAATCACCTGCACACTTGTCCTACTCTGCAGAAAGACCACTGAAATGATTTCACAGAGCTACAGGGAGGTGTCTCCTTTCACTTGTGATCCACAACCTGTAAAGCTTGTTTCAAAGGCAGGCGACTACGCCTTTTCTTTCAAAATCCTAACAGGATTCACTTTTCTTTTCAAAGATGGGGAAGTAAGAGGGTGGTGCTGCTGCCCCTTTTATACAATAGCCTTAAGGCTCAAGCATTCACCCAGGTTGAACTTGGATCTCCCACAATTCCCTTCTTTGCCTAAAGGAGATCCAATTCACATCTCCCACCTCCTTGGAGAGTGCTGCAACTGCCAGGCTATAGGGTGTTCTTGGGTGGGCCACTCTCCACCCCTTCCATTGAAGCTGTGCCATTGTGGAGAAAAGAATTCAGCATCAGCTAGGTCAGAAACTGTGAGCGAGCCTGACTCTGCAAACACCTGGCTCAGAAGCCTCCTAGGGTCTAGGAAAGGGAGTGTCACAGGCTCCAAATGCCATTCCAACATCTGGCCAAGCACTTAAGCCAACAGATAACTACATAAAAGATAGCAACCCCCTCCTTAACTCCCAGCATTGTATCCATCTGCTGTGGAATCCAACTTTCTGGGAGCACTGTGAGAAATACTGATATTCTCCAAGGAAGAACAAACAAACAAGCAGCTAGTTTCTGAATCTTAGTTGCAAAGAGGGCAGGCGCCAACCAGTTGCATAAAAAAAATGTGTCTTGCTGAAGAACATATTTTAAAGACTTTGGGAATGCTAACATTATAAATTAGAATACACAAAGTTTAGACTCTCAGAGCATCATGTAGCAGCTGAATGGCATTTTAGAACTTGAATATACACTGGAATCCAGTCCACCTACTGTACATATCTAACTTGCACTGAGGCTTCAGGTGCCTAATAAAGCAGGTTCCCTAAAGAAAGGTAGGCAAATTTGATGAATGAAGTAGCTCTGAAGGTCTTCAGAAGCAGACATTGTATGGCTCAATTTAAAAATATAAATTAGTCAGATTCCTTTCTGAACACATTCAAAGGCTTTCTCACTACATAAAGACAAAAAGGTTACTAATATTAACTCTTTAAAAAATGTGTAATCCACCTGTGCCTTCCAAAGGTGGGTGGCCTTGAGTCTCAAGAGTTGAGTATTAGAATAATTTGTGCTTAGAATATCCTCAGAGTACTCTCCTGCTTCCTCCCTCCCTTACCTAAGGGGGACATAGACCTGTCATTTCCCAGCTGCTCTCACTTCAGTCACTCCTGAACCACCTGGATGGAAAATGGAACGATGGGAGAGGGACAGATGTAAAGCATGCAGATTTTCAACATCACTGATTACTAGCACACAATCTGACCAGCAGGCTTCGAATGTTCTCACCATAATGCTCAGAAAAAAAGTAATTTCAAGCAAACATCTTCAAATGATTGGGTAACTTGACTGAGAATTCTGTCAAAGATTAAGACTGAAGTAAGACTAAACTGCTCCCGAATTCCTGAGATATAGCACAGTGTTTGGTAACATTGTGTCTACAGCACTAGTTTTGGCATGAAATTGATGAGTTCCTATCACAGAAGTTATTTCAGTCCAGCTAGAACATGTTTAGACAATGAACAACGGTTCTACCAGTTACAGAATCACGGCAGTCTTGTGAGCATTTTCCCTTTTGATATTTACATTTGAGAAAAGCCAAATTATCGAACTTCCCTGGACTGTACATATTCTGCTTGAAAAAATAAAAGGCTCCCTGAACTTATGTATAGAATCTTCCTGACTTGAGTGTCTGCAGAGAAGCCATACAGGCTGATGGAGACAGAACTGATACTACTCAAAGAAGTATCCTACCTTATGCATTATACCTTACCTTAAAACCCAGAGCTCATGAAGGTCTGAATTTTCCTTAGTCTACACTAAGAATAACAGCAAAGTAAAAAGACACTTTCATGGGAAGATGACAAAGAACTGGCTGGAGTAAAGGGACCATGAGAACAAAGCCCAAATCCTCACAGGATAATAGTGTCTGACAGCAGAATGTGTTCTGGACAAGCCCTTTAAAGAGTGTAAACAACACAACATCAGTTGATCAAAGGCTCTGTATGGTGACAGGAATGTGAGATCACAGAAGTCTAGTTTCCTTCAGCTTCATTAGATTATTCCAAAATAAGGCAGAGTGTCAGTGCAACACAGTGTAAACTTGGACAAAGTAAATGTATCATTGCCCTTTCTATGAGCTGGGGCTGTTCTCACCTGGGAAAAGCAGGATCCTATAGAAAACTGTGCTATCAAGTGTTTCTAGGTAAAAATGGATTAGACAATCTGTTTTCAGTGAAGAAAAACCTTCATAGGCAAGCATGATGTTGAAGTTAAAATCTCTTAAGTTGTGAAATATTAAAAAAGAATAAAAATTTGAGAAATCAAGGTCAAGGAACCCTAAAGTCCCTTACCTTGACCACAGAAAGGCAAGTATCAGTTCACTTAGCTGCAATATCAGGAACAAACTTAAAAACACCCAACATCAACATGCTGCAGTAGACATGAGAGTAGAGCAGACAGAGACATTTTTGTTGGCAGCGAGCAGAATTATGTTTGAGCTCTGAGAAGAAATTGGGGGGGACAATTCTAATTGTTATTCAGAAGAACAACCGTGCTTAGGCTGTAGACAAAAGAACTGCATGAGAGAGGAAGCTAAAGAGCTGACTCACACTGTGCTATGTCCAACATTAAAGTCTCTGCTTCTTCATAAGATGAAACAGAATGCTCATCTCCTTGTTTACAAAATACACTGTTCAAAATGCCTGACTTTACCTATATATAATCCTGACCTATCCTGGCTCACGGGGGACACCAACCACTGTCCAGTACTGGCCTTCCTCTTCAAATACTAGAGGAATGATGGCCATGAATATCATCCTGATGTTCCAGACATACAAGCAGAACCTCCACATCCATATGAAGAAGAACCAGACACTCTTCCTTTATGTCATGAGAAAACAATTATGGTAGAACTCCTCCTTCCCTTCACAATGCTAACATTGACTTTATGACAAGCCAAGATAACGTATCAATCTCCAGCAAAGACAGGTTCTCATGGGACAGATCACCCCTGACAGGTAAGGGGAAGGGGGAAGCAACAGGGAAATTAGAAGGAGTAGCAAGGCAAACTAGCTGTTTCCAGCCATATCTACAACTCGGCTATCTGATGTCACGCAATGCAGCACAGCAAAAAATGGTTTAGATCTAAGGTCAGAGGAAGAGCTCATTCTGAGCACACCTAAGAACCCCTGTGTAGGGTGATGTCTAATGCAGTAAGATTCTATGCCATTTTGATCAGCTTCAGAGCAATCAGCTATCTTACCAGAATCACTGCCTGCAGTCTGGTCAGCCCTGAGGGCTGAAACAGCTCAGGTCTACATGACGGGGGAAGGGCCTGCCATCAATAAAGTTCTGTACAATGTTTGTGCCTCAGCAGCAGAAAGCGGGAATTTTTAATGAATGCCAGTGCCCAGGAATCTTTTGTTCTGTGGCTGAAATAAAGAACAAGTTAAGGCAAAGGGAGATGCTAAACAGCAGACTTGTCCCTCCCTTGAGATGTTACCTCTTTGCAGCTGCAAAGACCACAAGACATTTGCTGACTAGGAGACTGTGTCCACCCGACACTGAAGGCAACCCATAAACATAGCACAGGAAATTGCTAGTGCTTCTGAAAGAACAAAAATAAAAAGTCCATAGCATCACTACCAAGAGGAGAAAAAACCCTGAAAATCTGCTGAACTAGTAGCAGGCAAACAGGCTCAGATAGCTTGCTAGTCAAAACTGCATTTAAGTTGAAGAATAACATGTTTTCTCAGGCTGTTCACTTTCTTGACTTCACTGAAGATGAGGACAGGTATGGGAGAATGTCAATAAAACTAACATGGTGCAAATTCTATCTGCTGCAATAGGTTAATGCACATAGTTTCCAGTAGCCTCCACACCAAGTCCTCAGAACATCTGATTATCCACATGAAGTTTGTCCAATCTCTCGCACAAGAGGAAGCTGGTTCTCCCATAGAATCTCTGGGAAAGATCAGAGCAGGAAGAAGGTCATTCTACATTTTTAGCCATTAAATGGGCCTACTGAGTGTTTATAGCAGGTCAAACATCCATGTCAATCTGGACAGACCAGTGAAAAACTGTCTAAATCCTGTTTCCCTGAGCCCAACAGCTGCACTCTGTAATAAGAACAAATCTAGCAGGAGGTGTATTTTGTATAAAATGAACCATGAGATGGAAAATATCTTCTCCAGAAGGGATACTCTAGGTGCAAGGGAAATTTTGCTGGAGACAGTAGACACTGCTATGGGGGTGCAAAACCACTCAGGCATGACATATTCCAATATCCATACAAGACTCCTGCCGATTCTGACACTCCCAACGGTACCAGGAGGAGATGTGGTAGAGCTCTGCCTTACTGGTGAAAAGTAAGATAGACAACTATGTGCATATGCAGCTCCAATGCTGCTCCAAGAACCTAAAGATGAGTAATAGACCAATCTTGGGGGAAGCAGCTCATATGTGTGATGCCTGCCCCACTTTTACCATAAGTAACAACCAAAATAAGATCAAGCTGATTATACTGAATGACTTTTCTATGTATAATAAAAGGAAACAACAATGAAAAAGTTTCCAGTCTCAAGCAGCTGAGTATTAACACACCCATACATATGCACAAGTGCAGAGGCATGAATGAAATGAAATCTTTAGAAGTCTTCTTTACTACCAGCATGTAAAATTTCTGGTACTGGACAGGTTCATTCCATCTTATTTTGACACCCATCTTTAAATTTCAACAGTCACGCTGACCTTAACAGCCTTTGGATTATATTCTTAATTAGCAAGAAATGCCAGCTCCCAGCTATTCTTAATGTTCTAGAAGTCCACTTATTTAGTTTAGAAGCAGCACTAATTACAGATACTACCTAAATGGCACAAAAGTCTTCAGTATAATCTCTTCCTCATTACTGTCTCCAGTTTCTCCCTGTTCTTCTCTTTCTCAATGGTTTTCAGATTCTCGTCTTTATGATGTGATTTAAAGAAATTTGTTTACAAAAGGCACCACCAGGGTTGAATGATTTCCATTACAATTTACTTTTAAGTTACTGGTTTACTTAACTTTCTAATTTATACTAATGGAAAATATTTGAATGAAATTATGTCAGACCATTTGTATATTTGCAAGACCAATCCTGCACATGAACCTTTCAAGAATTCCCTTCCTTATATTGATTGAAAGGACCATTAGACACTCTATTTGAGTGCTTCCAAAAGGAGGGCACTGATGATTTCCGTGTTTTCATGACAAAGACTTTGTCACAGCAGCTTTTCTTGTCTTTCCTCCCATGCTGCTGGTTGTCAACCTGCACAATGTAGTTCACAATGCCTCAGTAGTACTGATTACAACTATTTATAGGACCACATTACAAATCAGATCAATAAAATGACTGCAAAAATTTTTTTTTTCTTTTTTTTTTTTCAGTCTAGGTTGTTTCACTAATCTGGTTCACAGCATAATGCTACAAATTGGCACAATCAGGAGTTTGGGAAACTGTGGGAACTTCTTAAGTGGTTTTACTGCTAGACAAAAGCATACTGTGGAGCTACATCTTAAATTGTTAAAGTAAAAAGAAGATGGTGTTACCTATTAGACGTACTGGGTGCACATTATGCTGAGGGCTTTTTCGAGTTTTGATACTCCCTCCCTCATAAAATTAAAATATTGAAATTATTTGTTCTGTCATACTTAATAGCAGCTGTATACTTCAGTGTAAGAATGAATATGAAATACAAACCTGTGTAACAACAACTACTACAGCAATGCCGGTAGACGCTGGACTGGAATCCCACTGAAGAGGTCTGCCATGAGATTTCTTCATTCTGCCTATTGTCCAGCCCATACACAGACTCAACAATAAATACAGCATTTGTATCTGTGAGACTATGTCACACACTATTGAAAACAAAAGAAAAAGGAATAAAATTACAACAAAAATAAAGTTTTGGTTTTTTTCCTATATCAAAGGGAAAGGTTCTATATACCTGCAAACCAACAATGGATGCTTATGCCTCTGTATCACCTTTTAATTTTGATGATTTAGATTAGTTTAGGTTGCTTTGCCACAAAATGTGGTTATTTTGTGGAGTTTTCAGTGACCAAACTGATCACTATAAGCTTTCCTGCAGTTATGCTGCAGATCTGCAAGAACATGGGCACAGTGCCATGTCTTTCCAAATCCCACTCTTGTGTTCGAGTAGTCTGGGCTCAGGAGTCCGTCTGCATAAATAGACTTATAAATGCTAAATAACTAAAATCATATGTATGTTAATCATAGTGCAAATATGCAACATGCTGAAATGAACTCCCTTCTTCACTCTTAAGAACTTTTGTTCAAAAATCAGATAGTTATATATTGTACTTTGAATTAATTGCACTTTGTCTTGAGGATACAGCAGCTTCCAGAAGCAAGCACAAATATTTAGGACAAATTCCACTCTGAGATACTTAAAGGGGAAAACATAATGAATAGCCCTAACACAAACTTCATTTAGATCAACAACTTGTCTGTATTTCATTTTATTAAATGCAAAGTACCTTTGCCTCATTTTGCTATGTCCATTTTTACCTCTGTTTGGGAACAATTAACACATATTCCATAAAGTTACATTCTTAATCAGTGTCTCAAACTTGTGTTTGAAGCTGCATCAGAATGAAGAAAACTTTAAGCTAGGATATATTAAAGCCTTTATTTGTAGGCTTGCTGCAGCACTACTGACAGTAGAAAACTCTGAAGATTTCTTTCTGGGTGATTGTTAGCTTTAGACCTGGTAAGTTTTTGAGTTAATGAAGAATTTTAAAGTTGGTGTTGGGATCTGACTCATTGTACTGGCATAGCAGATATGTAAAAGAAAAACAGATTCTTACACTATGTACATTGTAAATTTGGTTCAGAAACTAGAGATTGGGCACTACACAGTGATGTTTTCTTTTTTACTTCATTAATATTTTAGTTCATTTAAATTTGTTCCTTTTTTGTAATTTTCACTTATACCATCAGGTAACAGAATAATATTTCTATCACAAAAAAGCAAAGCTCTACTTTTATACAACTGGACTGCATTAAAAAAGATAAATACCACATTTACTAAAAATATTGGCATAAGAAATGTTGCCACTATACAGAACTTAATATGGACTCAAGGGGAGTGTGTCAAAAGAAGATCATCTACAATATTTCCCTGACATCCAGCAATACTAGCAAAATAAAGAGTATAAATCAGACTTCAGAATGTATCTCCTGGGATATGCTTGGTATTCTCAGAGTTTACAAGCTTAAATGCTTCTTAATGTATTAAGACACCTTTGCTGTTTAAGATCTGTCAAGAGCTTTTAGTAAATACAAAATTGGTAATTCTTTAATAAAATCAACCAGCACTGATTTTGGGCAAAAAAATGATAACGGAATTATTTTCCAATGCTATCTTATTGAGAGACAGTACTCACTAGAAGAATTGTTACATGAAATAAAGGCATGTCAAACCAGTGTCACAAATCTATACTAGAAAAATGACTGAATAATTCTGTGTGTCCTAGGGAGCATTTTTTTTTTTTTCTGTCGTTCCTTAAGATAAGCTGCCCTATAAGGTATAGCCAGACATCACCTCTCCGTCATATCATGGATATAGGTACTGCTCTGCTTCAGTGTGGTAACAATTCAAGCGGATTCCCACATAAATTCGTCTAAGACAAAAATCCACAACCAGCTTTGATTTTTGACATCCTTATACTTTGCTAGAAAGGAACAAGGGTGTGAAAAATTTTAAAGATTACAACAATCCCACAATATTCAAGGTCAGTGTAAAGTCACATTACTGAGCTGATACCATAATTGTCTGATTTCATCACAATTCATCTTTTTTGACTATTCAACAGACATAATAATAGTCTTTGACTTTTCACATTTTATTCTTACCCAAAGTTTGCAATGCTTCCAAGTGTGAGCATTATTTGTGTGATTCATGCAATTGGGTTAGGTGGTTAATTAGACTGAGGATCAGCTTTTTATACGTGGTAAAGACTAAATTATCCTAGGAAAATAATAACTGCTTGAGATGGTATCTGAACAGGTTTTTAGAAAGATATTCTGGCCACACTGCAATTAATAGAAATTTTAAAATTTATTTTTAACTCAGATTTCTGCTGCCATATAGGAAAAATCTTTTCCCTTTAAACTATACTACTTGCCATCAGCCATTATTCAGAACTGTAACTGCCACTGAAACTTTCACATTTCTATTACTTCTTCTGCTCTCTTACTGTTTTAGAAACCACCAACCTCAGAGACAGTAAGAAAGTAAAAACTTTCCTAGCTAAATTTAAGAAACTGAGCTACTGATTCAAAAATAATATTCACTATAATCTTATATAAATAGAAGTGGGCTTTTTGACTACAACACATATAAAGAAAATTTAACATGAAGCTATTTCTCTGAAATTCTGTCTGGATAGTTAACACTGGGGTGGAGTTATGACTACCTCCATATCCTCCATTTTATTTCATTTCATGAGATGAGAAGGAATGTTTAATTATACAGTTGATGGAGTGGCTGCAAGGAGCTGCCAGCTCAAATGGTTAAAACAAGAAAGAGGCAATTATTGTGGTGCCAGGTGCCATCAAGAGGCTGGTAATTCCAACTGCAGCCTTCTAAATGAACTCTGCAAAGGGAACTATTTCACACTATTGCAGTACTATTTTCTTGGGGTGCTTCAAGCCAGTCAAAAGGAAATGTATTTGGTTGGAATAAACCTCCAGTTCTTCAAATGTGAACTGCAGGAAAAAAAAAAGCCAACAACCCTAAACTACCCAACAACAATGGAGAATGAAGAATGGAACGAGTTTAGGTTAGTGCATTTTGGAAAGGTAAGCTACAGGAGTTTAGTTCCAGTGAGAACTTGGAATATCTATACAGAGTGGAGAAAAATGCTTTGTTAGCACCAAACCTTCACATAAGAATTTTTTGCCCAATGCTAATCATAAAATTTGTCCTGTAAAATACTCTTCCATTTAATAATTGTTAAATTAGGCAGTGAAATGACAAATTCTAAAAAATATGATTAAGTTTCCTAAAAAGCTTGGCTTTCTAGATCTGACTCCACACAACTCTTCAATGTACTGAAAGACCTGCTCAGTTGATATTCATGTCTTTAAGTGTTCATAGCAAGGAATCTAGAGACAAAAAAAAATCCTTTGAAAAATCCTAAACAACATCACAGATGTGCAACTCCAAATAAAGTTATTGTAAACACACAGAACATTTTTTTTTCTGGAGGAGTAACATTTAGTATTTATATTAAAAATCAAATTATGTGATCCAGTATCTCAGTATAGTCCAGCAACAGCATTTGCTAATTATTATACAGATTCATGGGTAAAATATGTAAGAAACAGGGGACAGACTCACATTCTGCCAGACTTCCCATAAAAGGAGCTCCTATCCCATCTCTAGAATAACTGAAAAAAGAACAAAAAGATTGTATTTTTAAGTGGGTGTGTCTTAAATGGGTGTTCTCTCTCACAAGGACATTTAGGTAATGATGCAGTTCAAAAGTCAGTCTTATATTTTGCCACAATCCCTCCAGGCAAATCATGTACTGATCTTTACAACACATTGTTCTTCAAGTTTAAAGACTGAAAGGAGAAAAGGAACAAAGGTACCTTGAGAAATGCAGGTAGTTGGCAAAAGCTGAACCAGCCTGCAACAGTAATGCAATTGTCAACACCTTTAATACACCATGCATAGGTCCACGCTTCCTAATTGTTTGCCACAGGGATTGTGCATATATGCAAGCAGTTATGAAGTATACTAGGACAAGCAGGAAAAAGAATTCATGTAATCCTGTGGAAAAAAAATATACAGCTTAGTTTTACAAAGAAATGTTGCTACTAGGAGCAAATAACAAAAAAAACCCAGTACAATCATTACAATCTTTGGGATTAATACAATCATTGGGAAATACTTAGCAATTGTTACCTGAAAGTGGTAGTACACATAAAAGATCTAAATCTCAGTCAATTTTATCCAAGAAAATCGGTGAATTTTATCAAATAACTGATTATTATTTGTTCTGACAAAGTGTTTTTAATCAACAATACTTTTTCTGAGCAGAGGTTTGCAGCAATTACCAGACTACTATAAAGTGACACAGTTTCTTGATACACACAAAACAATTGTATCTCATTTGATTAGTAAGAAACATATTTATTAAAGGACTCATTTTTAGCTGTTTTTGCTTGTTTGATTCTGTAAAGGCACAATCCAAGGCAAGACAAACCCCAAACGGACTTCTATTTAATCTTTTTAACCACTGGGTGTCACTCTTCCTCCACATAAAGCAGTGTAAGAAGCGCAATTGATCAAGTCGGAAAACTTAGATACAGAAAAGTAGCACAGAAAACAGTAATTAGTTCTTAGCATGCCTTCTTTTGCACTTGTCTAAAAAAAAAAAAATCCCCAATTTTTTTAGATTATTTATAAAACAGAAATACTCTCATTTTCAGCCTGGCAGTAGTCTGGTAAAATGCTTCCCTTAAGACCTGGATCCTGGAAATCTTTTCTATTGTCAGTAAGCTTTGCAACCCCATCAGAAGCTCCCAAAGGGTCAAAGCCAGTGAGAGATATAAGCAAAAACAGGTAAACAAACATTTCTCATAGAAAACTTGCATTCATTCTCCAACCTTCCCTGAATGTGGTGCCCATAGAATCAGATTTAAAAAAAAGCTTTTTCTCCAGCAGCAAAATAACTCTGGTAAAAGGTCCCAGCCAGCTCCCCCCAGAGACTGGGAAGAGCAAGTATACACATTTCAATATCTGAGCTGAAAAACATTAGAACTGGATGAGTTCTGAATAGTGACTGAAATTAAGCATTTTGAACATACACACAGGAAAATGGGAGAAAAAGAGCATAAAGTAACTAAGAGGATAAAAAATTCCAGGCCACTCTGCTTCTCTTGTACACCAATACATTAGCATGATTTATCAATGACAAATCTATCTATATGGTATAGATCAAATCTGTCTTTCTGCTTCAAAAGATACCAACTGAAGTTTGCAAGGACTTTGTAGGTAAAAGTTATTTCTCACCATGATGAGTGAGAACTCTTGGAAAACTCTTTAGTAAAATCAACTAGCTTTTAACAAATACTAAGGATTTATGATAGAACACTCCTTCCAGCCATAGACAAGAGTGTAGATTATTGGCTTGAGACCAAAAGGGGTTAGGAAAAAGCTGCACTGCGAACCAACTATAAAAAAAAATACAATTTTCAACCTGTCTTCTTTAAGTTGCCTGACTTTCAAGGAACCTAACTGACCAAGTCAAATATTTGAAATATCTTACTTCAAAGCTCTTCAAAATGCTACCTGTTCAGCTGCATTTAGAAATCCTGGATTCTACTGACACCATGTCTTCTACATAAGACCCCTACCATATAAAATATGATTACTTGCCAGGGATCAGAAGTCAGGCCCCTTCATCTCTGAAGGTAAACATCTTAATCGCAAGGTGATAGCCTCAAGTGCTTTCCCATGCTTTCCTTATTATTAATTTAATTTTTGAGATGTCCTGTGCCACAGCCTAAAGTAACTAAAGTTAAAGAAGACCTAACTAAAACCGTCTGCAACTATGTAATTTCTAGTCGCCTGCATGAAATAAGCAAGAAATGAAGCTGGATTTTCTTTCTGATACCCTCTCATTCTACGTTTCTATGAAAAAATGGCAAAGATTATTTCCCAGAGATCCATTAAATTAAAAAAGAGAGAGAAAGACAGAGAGATGAAATGCTCCTCAGCTCTTTGAAAGGAGACCAGTGCATGTAGCTTCAGGATTCATGGCAACAATGCAGGTTTTAATTCTGAATTAACAGAGGTGTTCCTCTGCAACTCTGAAAGACATGGCATGTACAGTTTATCTTGCTTCCTATATGTTAGATCTAAATACATACATCTAGCACATTTACACACCTTCTTACTCAGCATATAAGCTGTTTGGAGTTCTGCTTCCCAGTGCTCAGTCTTCCTACAAAATTAATGCAGAGATGAGATGCCTCTGTAGGAGGTCTCTACATCAACTTTAGTGGGCCATAAGCTGCCACATAGCTGCTTTGCCCCTTGATTTAGCAATTACTCCTTTAGCTATTACTCCTCTTTGAGAGTAAGTAAATTAACCTAGAATTCACTTCTGAAGGCCAAATTCACCAAATAAAAACTGGCAAGTTTATAGAACTTAAGACGTTAAAGAGAGAGGTTAAGTCTGATTATGACCCTAGAAATACAAATTATTAATGTACTACTTTCTTGCAGATTATGCTAAACATTCCAACAGATATTTTCTTCCTTTCAAAAACTAAGTTGCCTTTGTTCCCTCTATATTCTCTTGAGGTCATGAGTGACAGCAGGGCATTTGATTCCAAGCTCAGCAATTAGGCTCATCCTTGGTATATTCAAGTTCACTCTGTACAGGACTGTACAGACTAAGACTCCGTATAGATTAAGCTTACAGAGCCTTTCCCTCACAATAGACCCTGGTGAGTGACATGTTTATGAGGCCTCCCAGAGCAGTGATGCTACTCACTGCAACCAAGAATACATTAGGCTGGATTGTCCAAAGCATACAATTTTATGCAGGTGTTTCTTAATCTGATGTCTTGAGTTTTTCTTTGTATGTTTAAAGATTTAAAATTACATTTCTTATAATAACAATATCAGGCCAGACAAACCTTATCTACAGCATGTGACTAAGACACTTATAATGATCCAAACACTGAACTGAAATTTTACTGGCAAAATGTTTTATCGTGCATGTACTCTTGTTGCACAGAATCAAGTTTCACACAATTAAGGAATTTCACTAATTAATTAAAATCAGGTATCAAGTTTATATTAAAGTGGACGATTACAATTTCAACATGCTCAAAATACCTATCAGCCAAGATTTTAACACTGACTTTCCCTGTGCACCTACACTTCTAGTTAGGCAAGTTTTGGAAAGTCAGTCTAGGAAAACGAAACTATTTTTCTGTGATGACAGAAAATGAACTCAAGTTTACTCCTTGTAAAAAAACAGAATATAAAATATAAGAGGCTCTGCTACCCATTCCCCATGCTCTTCCAAGCACATTACGTACTGATTTGAATAATCAGATCCTTAACTTACAAATCTAATTTTAAGAAAAAAAATCTTACCAGATTCCCCTGCGCTAAAGTGATCTAATGGATTCCCTTCTGCATCTGGGTTTAGTAAGACCATTTCAAACTGAATATCCTCGGATTCAGAATAATTCTCTTCGCAGGTAAACTTGTCTACATAAAACACATACCATGTTTCCGGATAAGGAATCTGGGACACTGTCAGATTTTGCTCTGTGTGGTTCACAGTCACTTTGGAAGAAAACAAAAAAAAACCAAAACCAGGAGTAAATACTTGATTAGTTTGGTTTTAGAAAATATATCTTTGAATGAAGATAAAACTTAAATCCACAGCATCATATACAGGTTATAAACTATACACAGTAGAAAACAGACTGAGTTTTGAAAACCATCCATAACACCAGAGACCAGACCTTCAACTTCAGCTTTTGTTTCTAGTAGGTGTGGGCAGGAGTTGGTGAGGATGCTGCATCCCACCTTCCAGCTCTGCTGGGAGGGCTCCCTCCTTCCAGAAGCCAGAAAGTGCAAACGATGTTCTTTGCTTAGCACATTTCCATCCTCTAGTTCTGAATTGACAGGATTAGCTATTCTGTACTACCCAACAGGTACTTCAGCATGAAAAATACCTTTGTGAAATTTATTTGAATTTGCTTTCAAAGAGATTTACAGCACCAAACAGAAACAGTTGCATGTGAGCTCAGTAAACAGCACCATGCATCCTTTAAAGGTGCAAATCAGTATTATTTCACAGGATCTTCTCCAAACTGTAACATACTGAATTTCAATTGACAGTAAAGATCTGAAACCACTGTGTAATCAAACTGCATATTTCAAATCAGATTACATTTAAAAACAACTATGTAAGATACTCATGTTTCATCTGCTTGCTATTTTACCACTATTTCTTGACTAAAAACAACAGTTAACAAAGCACAGTCTCTTAAAAACAGTCTTGATGCAAATAAAACCTGTGGCTATGTTTGGCTGAAACTGTAAGAAATGCAAGCATTGTAACGTTGACTACTGAACTTGAGGGCTAATCAGCTCAATAATTTCTCTTCAGGAGAAATAACAATAACAGAATAATTCACCTTAATAGGTAAACATGACAAAGGCTAAGGACGAAGAAAAATTTCATTAAAAATCCACAAAACATTTTTTTTTTTGTGAAAGGCCTTTCTAAATAAGAGCTGCAAACATACAACCACATTTTCCCTAAATATTTTGTAGACAAAATTTAGAACAAGTTTCTCACTTGAAGCCTACTTGTGAAAAACTTCAATGTAATTCCAATAAACATGTTTCAACTACAAGAAGTTATTTTCCGTTCTTTTAAGGTATGAATTGAGCAACTTTAGAATCCAGGAAGAATTAGTGTATGTGTCCTTGCAGCAACTGTCATGAGGTACAGATTTGGACGACACAAATCAATATTGCATATGGTGCTTAATCCAATGAAAGACAAACTGCAGCTGACAGGAGTGGCTTTATTCCCCATGTCACCTCTCAGCTGACTTCTGACACTGTTATTTGCACCACAAGTAAGGATCACACAGAGTGTGTTTAATCAGGTTCCTCTCAAATCTGTGAGCTGACTCAGAGACAGAAAAGCCAGTGATTTTGCCCAAGATCAGCAAAGAAATCCAACTCACCCTGTGGCCACACAGCTCCTAACAGAGCAGAAAACAGTGAGTACACTGCTGGGACAAGTCAGGAAAGACAGATCAACAGTCAGTTATTCCAACAGTACTTTTGTGCAGCTCTGATGAAGTGTAAGGAAACCACATCCCTACAAGTGACATCTGTGTAAAGTTTCATTATGACAAATGTTACATGATCAATCTGTTACTCTTGGGATTCTGACAGCACAAAGGAAATGTATTTAAAAGAGAAGCTTAAGTCACTTAAAACACATTTGAATTAAGCTCCTAATGCTAATTTAATTTCTTAGAGGAAAATTTATGCTTTAAGTACCATTATTATAAACAAATGGTGCAAAAATTATTATTTCAGTTTGTTTGTCTTCTAGTTACATAACTCAATTCTTCAGTGTTTTACTGTTCTTTCACATTTAGATGGATACTCAAGCTTTATCCTGATTAGTTCATCTTTAATATTGTATTAAAAATTTTCTAACATGTTAGAAATTTTCTAACATGTTTCTAACATACATCGAAGCATGACAGATTTGTGCTATCATGAGAATATAATTTTATTTTTATTTTCTCTGCTTTGAAAAATGCCATTTCCATGAAACTGGAGAACAGGAACCTCCTGTGAGAAATGTTCCTTTGTAAACAAGAGACAAAAAAATACAATCTAAATATTCTATACTGGTATAACTCTTAGCTCAAACATTAAAAACAACTGAATGTGAGATTCAGTAATAAATATCAGTTATAAAAGGTGAAATACCACTAAGTTATAATAGAGGAAAATTACAAAGTAAGGTAGCATAATGCTACCCGTTTAAGTTCTGCAGAGAATAAAGACTTATTATGAGGTAGTGAAAGAGTAGGTTTACAGGTACAAAATTACCCGTTTACTTTGTACTAGGGCTACACACTCCCACCTTACAAGCATTTGCTTCAGAAGTTTAGAGGCAACTGCAGCAGGTTCCATTCACTTTGCCTCTAGTTTGTTTTGCATTCTGCTGCAATGAAAGTCACAACTCAAGTCACAACTCAGACAAGTCAACCATCTGACTGTCTCAAACATACAGATTCTTTAGTTCTTCAGTTTCTTAGTACAAGGGTATTCTTTGTAAATTCTCTCTCATACCCAAGATAATCTATTTTATAGAAAATTTGAGATTAAAAAAAAAAACAAATAAAAAGAAAGACATTTACTCCAAGCAGAGCTAAAAAAAAATATCTGTACTGAATGACTAAATGAAAACTTCAGCCAAATATGTACCCTGAGTTGTGAACAGTAAAAGCATGGACTGGAAATGGTCATAAAGTTTGGCTGTTTCCACTAAAGCCATTGTTTGTCATGGATTTAATTTCCCAGCCACACATTAAATCATAACTTGCAAACAAATTCTTCTGAAGTAATACAAAGAAAGGAATTTTATATCCTTGTAGTATTTTTAATTGTAGAAGACCAAAGTCCTAGTTGATGCAAAGCCCAAATTCACTGAAATGAATAGTCTAAATACACAGATAACTGAACAGAGTTCTAAATACACAGTAAGTCTGTAAGGAGAAAAATATCCAGTAACTCACTTGTCAGCTGAGCTTTAGAGAACTTCTCTGTACAGCTGTGATCTTGGACACTGTTCTCCAGCTTCTGCCATTCCTGTCCTTGAAAGAGGTGAAGTCTAGCTGCTTTTGCCACAGCTACTGCTGTGTTCTTGATTCTGACGCACAGAAGAGCATGGTCACCTTGATATTTAAAAAACAAAATCAACTATTCTGTCTTGATGTCAGTTAAAAGCAAAAAGTGTGGCAGATTTCTCTTTTAAGTAGCTTCAATACAGCTTCACATTAATTAGGAAGTAGTGGTAAAAAATTAAGGGTAAAGTATTTATTGTCTTTCAGAAACAATTTCTATGTCTCTCATTAAGAAAACAGTGAATGTACAATTCTCTATGATGGTATTTAAACAAACCTTCACCACAGCCCATGTGTCATTAACCTTCTCTACTACAAACAACCTTCCCTCCCGCCTCTCTTTTAAAATAGACTTCCAGATAACATTTTTTCCCTTCCCCCCTCCCACCCCAAATTTTACTGTTTTCAAGTTGAAGACAGTCTCAATAACTTCTTCAAAGTCTAGTATTTTATGATCTCTGTGGCATGACTCTGAGCATCACAGGGTAGATCTTAAGTCTAACACCAGAAGAGCTTATGTGAATGGACTTTCATGTTATGGATGGATTAGAGCTAAAACTCTTAATAACAGGTGATAGATTGATGACAAATTGATGCAAAGAAAATAAAACTTCAAAAGCATTCTCTAATGTGCCAAGCTACCTGTGGAAACACAGAATGGCCTGGGTTGGAAGGGACTTGAAAGACAACCTAGTTTCCAACCCCCCTGCTGTGGACAGGGACACTTTCCTCTAGACCAGGCTGAACAAAGCCCCATCCAGCCCATCTTTAAACATTTCCAGGGATGGGCATTCACAACATCTCTAGGCAACCTGTTCCAGTGCTTCATCACTCTCACTGTAAATATTTTTTTCCTAATATCTAATCTAAACCTACTTATTTTCAGTCTGAAACCTGACACTATAGACTGCATCTTGACACACTGAAATATTTTAGTCATTTTAGAACTAGCTCATTTGACAAAATTTATCTTGCTTGAGTAATTCCATACCCCTGAAACTTGTATTCATAATTTCTTTCATATATTGCCATAGACTTCTTTAACCTAGGAATATCCGAAATTAAAAGGTAGAATTTAGCGGAGAAGATAAGTCAGTAAAATGTTATATGAACTACAGTTTAGCCAAGATGTTGAAATATTAACAGAAGGTTCTAAGGAAATCTTCACTGAGACCCAAAATAGTTACTGGTATTCAAGCAGAAAGATAAGTATTTCTATATGCAAATATGCAACATCAATTTATAAATTATATCTGAACACCTATACCACTCATCTTCAATTTTGACCGTCTTTTCTCAGATTTATAAAGTGCGTTTTTTCTTTCAGATCTATTTAGAGCACTCGTACAGTTAACTTCTAGGACAGTGCTAATTAACTGCTTTCAAGTCACTTCATAAGCTATCTCCACCCTATCTATCATTTCTCATTCAGTACTGGAAGGTCATGCTCCAACTCTGTTTTACTTATGTCACGTTTTCCTGCTTCCCGTTAGATGTGGAAGCACTCTGCACAACTGTTCTGCCATGAAGCTCAATGGGAAAGAAAAACAGCCTAAGCCGCTGAAATGCTGAGCACACAGGAAAAGCACGCAGACCAGCACAGCCTTGCTGGACATGGCATTTGTCATGGTCACGCACAGCTCCTTCTGTTAAGTAAAACTTCTCTAGCAAGCCCTGCTAGGGCTCTCTTTCGGCAGGACAGTAGCCAGGAATTATTACTAAGTAATTACTGACTAACAGTCGGAAATTATTACTAACAAGGAGTTTTAAACACGGGAAAGAAAAGCCATTGGGAATAACCAGGTAAGAATTTGACATCCTGATGCGCGGCGTCACCACACAGCGACGTTAAAAGCACCGCTGCCATTTGGGGGCAGGAGCACCGCTGCCAAGGGGAAAGGAGCGGTGCGTGTCGCAGTGAGAGCGGCCCTGCTCCCCGGACACCCGTCCGGGAGTGCCCGCACGGGCTGCGGGACACAAGGGAGGCACAGCGCTGCTCCGCTCCGCCCCGCTCCGTCAGACACAGCGCTGCTGCCCCGCCGCGCTCCGGCCATGTCCCGCGCTGGCCGCGATTCCCGGCCCCGCTCCCGCGCTGCCGGACGGCGGATCGGAGCTGTTGCACGTCCCGGCAGAGGAGAGAGAGGAGGAGGAAAAGAGGGAAGCAGAGCGCGAGGGAGAGCAGCAGGGAAGCACGGAGAGCTGCAGGGCTGAGCCCGCTCCCCACCCCGCGGCCCCTCCGGCCGCCACCGGTCCCCCCGCGCCACAACGGCTCCTGACAGCCGCCCCTTCCCCACGGCCCCGCTCCAGGACGGCACAGTCGCTGCTGCCCCGCTCTCCTGCCCTCGGGGCACCCACCGTGGAACTGGAAGCGCGCCACGGGCCGCCACGGCTCCCGGCGGGCGGCGGCGCTGGCGAAGCCGCCCCGCAGCGTCTTGCCCGCGGCGAGGCCCCAGCAGCAGCCGGCGGCGGCGCTGAGCAGCAGCAGGAGCCGCCACCGCATCCCCGGGACCCACCGGGAACCACCGGGACCCTCCTACCCCGCCCGCCGGGCCCCCGCCGCGTCACGTGACGGCCCCCGCCGGGGTAGGCGCGAGCGGGAGGGCGGGAGCGCCGAGAGAGCCAATGAGAGAGCGCGCCAGCCCCCGGGGGCGTGACCGAGCGCCAGGCCCCGCCCCTGCGGCAACGTGTCCCGTTGCCGGGTCCGGCCGTAAGTTGAGAGACCCGGAATCGTAAAAGAGACGGGCAACAGCTGCCGCTGAATGCGGAGGCGAAGCATTGGTCTTTTTCACACGCCGCGCCCGCCCCGCTGTCGGTGGCCTCCGAGACGGTGGAAGCTCCGCTCTCGGGGCCGCGCGGGAAGCGAGGAAGGCGATCTTTTAACGAGCCTTTTGCAGGCGCTGCGACTCTGCCCGGGAAACCCACGGGTCCATGCTGCGCACGCGCAGCCGTGGGGGAAAGGGAGTGCGGGGCCGGTGCCGTAAAGCGCGGACGATGTCGGGGCGGGCGGGCCCCGCGGTGTTCGAGAAGCGGGTCCTGGTGACGGGCGGCGCCGGCTTCATGTGAGTGAGCCCCGCGGGGCCGCAGCGGGCCGCCCGCCTCCTGTCCAGGGGCGCGGGTGAGGCGTGGCGGGCGGGGGTCCTGCAGTGCCGCCGCCCTTGTGCCCGTCCCGGGCCGGTTCCTCGGCGCCGCTGTCTCGGGCCGCGCTCACTCACGGGGTGCTGGTGACTCGCCCTTGCCGTGGTTCTGAGCTGGGCGGCTGCCCCCGCTGTCCTCCGCCTGCGGCCGGCCAGGAGGTGAAGGAGGCGCTGGCGGTGGGAGCCCGTGCTCGGCCTCCGCGGGACGGGACTGCCCAGAGGAGGGCAGCGGAGCACTGGAGGACCTGGAGCAGAAGCCTTATGAGGAGCGGCTGAGGGAGCTGGGGTTTGCCTGGAGCCTCAAGGAAAACAACTTTATCGCTCTCTTCAACTCCCTGAAAGTGGGGTGTAGCCAGGAGGGGTTCAGCCCCATGTCCCAGGCAGCAAATGAGAGGACACGGTCTAACCTGCACCTGCGGAGGTTTAGGGTGGACGTTAGAGTGCATTTATTCACAGGAAAGATGATTGAATATTGGACTGGCCTGCCCAGGGAGGTCAGCAGTCACTGTCCCTGCAGGTGTTCAGGAAACTACTGGACATGGTGCTTACCGCCATGGTCTGGTTAACAAGGTTGTGTCTGGTCATAAGCTGGACTCGATTAACTCGGGTCTTTTCCAGCCTGATGGATTCTTTGGGTTGAAGGTGGCAGGGCTTCGAACCAGCTGCTATTTCCTGTACCAACCCCCAGTGCTGTGGGCTCAGTTTGAGTCAGAGCAAGATCTGGCCTGGCTTAATCTGGAGCCCCTCATTGTGTGGAAGCCGTGAGATAGTTAAATTTGTGTGTGTGAATAACCCTGAACTAGCCTGAACTCTCAGGATGAGCTTCATGTACATAAGACCCCGTTAAAGGGGTGTTGCCATCGGGTTGTCTGGTTGTCACTTCTTACACCTAGCAGCAGTGTCAGAGACTTGAGTGATGGCAGTCACTGTCATGGGTTAGGAGTGTTCACTGTTTGGTTCTCCCTCATATGCAAGCTTTAGAGTGCAAAAGTATTTTACAATGGCAATTGAATATAGCATATAACAGGTTTTTTTACCTGACTGTGGGCTGTGCTGATTTCTTTCATTAGAAGATGAACTTTTATTCTGATTTTTAGTTTCTTAACCACTTATATACAGAAAATATTAGGACAAGGTATAGAATGTATATTAGAATAATGTTGATGTGTTAAAATATCTTTGAATTTGTCTTTCCTCTGTCTTGAATATATCCTCTTCTTACCCCAAAGACTTTTGAAAATGCGAATTTATTTGGAATTTGTCGTTTCTTTATGACCTTAAAGCCAAGTATATAATTGTAAAATATGTTTTTCTTCTATCCTGCAGTGCTTCACATGTAATCGTCTCTCTTGTGAAAAACTATCCAAACTATCTGATTATAAATCTGGATAAGGTAATACCTTGTTTTCTTTCTTGATATGGACAACTGTTTTAAGTGGTTTACAATGCAGTCTATAATATGTTGAAATTTATATGGCTTATTGTTAGTTTTTGTTTGATTTTCCATTTGTTCCTGTGCAAAAAAAAAAAAAAAAAGTCAACTGATGTTCAGAAAAAGAATGAAACTTTTCAAGTTTTAAATATCTGTTTAAGAATTTTTGCTCAAACAGATGTTTAGATACAAGTTAGGGTATCTTTCGAAGATTTGTGCTTTTAAAGCTTCATATCTACTTGCAAAGTAGTTTTTTTTTTTTTTTTAAACTTTTATTCTTAGACTTTCCAGTGGTTAGGTTGGGTTTGAGTTAGCCTTTTTGCATTCATGAAGCCCACTTACTGATGTTTGGTATTTCTCTTTAGCTCGACTACTGTGCAAGCTTGAAGAATCTTGAAACTGTTTCTGGGAAAGAAAACTACAAGTTTATCCAGGTAATAGAACCTTCCCTTCCACAAAACATGACTTTTTACAGATTTTTGATATATGCTTCCACAGTTTTGTCTTCAGACAGGAGGTAGATTTTGATTTATTGTTCAGATCAGTATTCGGACTTGCTGGGCTTGCATGCTGAAGTTCTTCCTGTCTACAAGAGGTGGTGCTGATGCTCATCTCTCTGTCTGGGGGTCTGCCCAAGGTTGCAGGACATCTCAGAAATTCATATAGCTCAGTTTGCTGAAACAGCACCTTTCTCAGAGGGAGTAGATGTAAACTTGCCTGTTTTATTAGATTCACTCAAGGCTGGAAGCTGAACTTGCCCTGACCTGTTGGTGACCCCAATGACTGATTATGTTTTTGTGAACCACCTCTTTCTTTCAGTAAGGGATTATATCTGAGCTTTTGGGATTCAGGTTGCATGAGAGGAAAGGGACAGTCTGTATGTAGACATGCACGTGTGTGCAGTTTCAGCGTGGCCAGATTCGCTTTTTGGTTCTTTTCCTAAGGTCTTTGATTGTTTCCAGTGTGCAATACGAAATGTATGAATGCAGTATAAAAGCCTTGTTACCTGAGGAGATATTAACATTTAGTTGCTGTGGAGAGCTTGGAGTTCTACAAGATATCCTTTAAACAGGCAGATCCCTATGTGAAGCATGCGAAACAGTAACTAGGAGTGATGTGGCTGTACTGCTTTTGAAAAGGGTAGGAATCTCATCACAAAACTTACATCAGTATAAATAATTCCAATTTTTCACTATGTTTGTGTTTGTTTTTTGTTTTTTTTTTTTTTTTTGTAGTTTGGGGTGTGTATTTGGGTTATTTGTTTCTGGTTTTGGTTTTTAGGGACAGTTGAGCACAGCTTAACATCCAGCTGGTATGCAGCCAAGCAGTTTACATTGACAGGAAAAAATGTGCTGGAAAAGATAATGTCTAATGTGCAACCCTTACAATTAGAGCTACTAACATTGGTACTGACCTTAGGAGACAGCAAGAAGAAAGTATTCTCTAGTGGTACTGTAGAAAGGAAGTCTGTTTTGGATACTAGAACAGAAAGTTTAGAAAATTTGAGTCAGGGGCTGTATGAAAGATACATTTTAATCACAATTTCTGTTGAATTTCAGTTTAAAAAAATCAGTAACTACCCATTTAATTAAAAATAACATTTCTTTAAAAAAAATATGTCGATTAAAAATAAATTGCTGGAATAAACAGGAACAGCAAAGCCCTTGCTAGACATAATCCAATCCCCCTCAGTGGGAATCTGCTTCTCCTTTTGTAGTGCCACTAGATGTCCCTGCCAGCTTGCCAGACTGGGAACTCTTACTTGCTCTGGGAACTTAGCATTTCAACCTCAGTGTTGGAGCTCAGTGCTGTACTCTTGTTGTATGTATTTTTGGATACATTGCTGTTTCTAATGTTAATAGTAATATAAATTCTGAAGTAAGTTTTGTTGAGGATTAAATAAAAAAGGGGGTGAAATTTTATGTGTGGTCTTATTTTAGATATGGAATTGATAAGTGGCCCAGAACTCAGTTGATAGTGCTGTTTGTATCCTGTGTTCCCTTTGTAATGGTTTCTTATGTGACACTTGGTATAAAGGGAAGCTGACTGTTTTCTATCAAAAATAATTTGCCCTTTCTTTTTTTCTTTCCTGTTTAGGGAGATATTTGTGAACCTGATTTTATAAAGCAGCTCTTTGAAACTGAGAAGATAGATATAGTCTTTCATTTTGCAGCCCAAACACATGTAGGTGAGCATTGCTGCATGCTTTGGTATTGTTTTCTATGGCTATGCCTGCTTGAAATATATGCCAGTACACCTTTTGTCTTTTCCCTTCATATAAACCAAGGATCCAATTTGTCTCTACAAATCACATGACTGAGCATCTTGTGGCCTTTATAACGCAGAGGGATTCACAGCCTTGATTTAAAAAAGTTCTTAATCTAACTGTTGTCTTGTTTTTATTGCACATAAATGTTAATGTACCTTTTTGTCTGTATTACATTTTTAGATTCTGTCTAGATTCACATGTAGCTGACAATGTATTGAGGGAGTCATAAAGACAGTGGATAGGGGCTTTGTACATAGTCTGAAGTTTTTACTTAATTGGCTCCAATGTCACATGAAAAAGCAGCGTGAGAGCTGAAGGATTAGGCATAAGTCCCACTGGAATCTTGTCTCTGTGCTAAAAAGAGAGAATGAATTATAAAGTACCTATTTCAGATGACTGCTTTTCAGTATCACTGTTAGTAAGAACAATCCCCACCATACTCCATCCATCATGAGAAGAAATCCTTAAAGAATTCTCCAGGAAAATACTTCTCGAAATTGTCAGATTTGATAGGCACAAATTCATTAGGTCAGGGGAGCAGTTGTAAGAATCAAAACAGCTGCTGGTGAATTATTAGTTATATATATATGACTGCATCTTGCAGTCATATGGACCCATTCAAAGACAGTCTTGTCTTTGACACTTTTCTTACTGTACTTAGCCAGTGCTATTTTAGATTAAAAAAATCCATAACCAACAAGCTTTTGCTCATGATTCCAGCCTCTTGTTGAGAACAAGGATTTTTGTCTTCAAGTGTAGAAGGTGCCTTCGTTTAATAAGGACCTTGCTAACTGGCAGGTCTCTATTGCAGTCTTCAAGTGGAACCTATAGCCCTGTCTTCCCTAAATTAAATCAGAATTGTCTGCATTTTTTTAATGTAGATCTTTCATTTTGGCATGCCCTGGAATTCACCTACGTTAATGTTTATGGCACCAATGTGCTGGTTGCTGCTGCACATGAAGCTAATGTCGAGAAATTTGTCTATGTTAGCACAGATGAAGTATATGGAGGTAGCACTGATGAGGTGAGTTTGAAAATGCATGAAGATTTTTCTAGTTTACCTGCTTTTAATAGTGAAAACAAAGTTGTGTCTAACTTTACTTGGCCTCTGTAAATGTTTGACTTTAAGTAAGCACTGGTAGTTTCTAGAAAGCTGAATATCAAAATTGTCCTGTTTTTTTTTTTTTTTTTTTTTCATAGCTTGTTTTATATGGAATGTTTATTCTCTAAAGCAGTGAGATTTGGGTCATAAATGGTGTCACTATTCCTCAGACATAGTATAAAGAAGTGTATTATGCAGGTTTTGTCCTGGAGCATTCTTAAGACTTCAGCAGTGTGCACAGTTTAACAGGCGGGGAACTGCTTTATATTTTAGCTAAAATATTAACAGAACTGTAGGTAGTGACAATTCAAATAGAAAACAATTCCTGTATTGCTGTAATAAATATTCAGATGTTTCTTGTTGTTATGAGCAAATCTTTGATTTTTGAGAATTTATACCTGACCTTAATTCAGGAAATGTCATTTAGCTCAGTAGAAAGGCAAATTATGCATGTTCTTCTTTTTAAAGGCATAAATAAAGTCAAGGAGCCTTTTGCCATAGTCCCTGGAGATATTAATGTACTTCAGAAGAGTTCTGAGCACTTTCTTGGTATCACAGTGTCTGTATCAGTTCCTTCAACACAACTTCCATCTATAGGCTTTTATGATATCCAAGAATGATGTTTTTTTGTGTGTGGACTCATGGCTTGGCTGATACCTTCAAGTGAAATTTTTCTGTCTCTGGGCCTTGAAAAGAGAACTTTAATCTGTTTTTTCTTCTCTTTGTGAATCACACTAGAAGTTCTCATAGAGTTTTTTTCTGAGGGGAGAAAGGCCATTTAATTTCAGAGGCAAAGGTTGGACAAGAACAGTGAGTGTTTTAATCACGTGAAAGTGATTGTTACCAATCGCATGTTGTCTAGTATCCCTCCTTCTTTTGTTTTGTTTTTTCTCCCTTCAAGTGAGAAGTAGATTAAAATGTTAGGATAGTCTAGAAAATACCTGTTCTGAAACTGGTCAGAATTGTTGAAGCCTTACTTTGGTCATTTTTGGATTGCAAATAAAATTACACAAAAATTTAAGGAAAAACCCCTTTTATTTAGGACTGAATTTGCTAGTGGTGGTCCAATTGCCCTCTGAGGCAATACGAACCTGAAAAATATTAAACCTCTCTGTAGCAACAGTGATTATTTAATAAGGTAAAAATCTGAGGACCTGCTGCTGTAAGGTAACTGTTACAAGTATAAAAACATTACTGCAGGTAATCTATCTGCTTCCTATGTTTAATAAATAGGTTGTCTTTTGTTATGGGCTTCTGTTGTAAGGGGACTTTGTTAGGCTGATGTGCTTGGATATTTAAGGATTTTTATTTCTTTTGTAACTTTAGGGCTTATCTGGGCAAAAGAAATTGAGCAATGCAGATTTTTCCTTTTCATTTTAGGAATTTGATGAATCCTCACCAAAACGTCCGACAAATCCCTATGCCTCCTCTAAAGCAGCTGCAGAGTGTTTTGTTCAGTCTTATTGGGAAAGGTACCAAGTAAGTCCATGGAAACTTCAGAAACTCTGAAGCCTGTAATTAAGTGTCTGTATTATGCACGTAAGAGTATAAAAGAAAAATCAGTACTAGTCCACACAGTGCCACCTCTTTCCTTATTGTAGTCCTGATGTGTTAGAAAATCTCCACCAATAACTTATGAAGATATACTGCAAGACAGTGGGGACAGGTCTGATGTTTTTAAGTTTTGTTTTTTAAATCTAAACTGTAATATCTAAAATTGTGGTTTGATAAAATGGTCAAAGAGAACATCAGGAATTTAAAAACCACTGCTAAGCTTGCAGGAATACAAAAGTATTACATGGAAGTAGAACATGTGCAATTCAAATTGTCTTAAGACTAGGTTTATAGTTAAAGCAAAAAAAAAAAGAAAAAGCCCTGCTAGTCAAATTTGCTTAAGCAAACAAAAAAAATATTTTTAATACCTTAGATTTCTGTTCTTGATATATGATGCTTTTGCTATAAAGTGAACAAGAATAGGATGTTAATGACCTGTGAAACATATTGGAATAAGTAGGCATGAGCCAGTCTTCAGTAAACCAGATACACGTATGCAATGTCCTGTGGTGGTTCCAGAGTAAGAGAGATTTCAAACATTTGTCCCTTGTGGTGCTCCTAGCAAGGCTGGAGGCCCTTGCCTGTTCGACAGAAATACAGAGAGCTTAATTCAATAACATTTGTAAGGGCTTGCAGAAATTTGAGTAATCACTGTGCATGTGTTGGTTGGTTTATTGATCAGCAGGAAGGTACAGATTTTTACTGGTATGTGCTTTCTTACGGAATCACGTGTATTTTTAATGCTCTCCAGTTCCCAGTTGTCATCACACGGAGCAGTAATGTTTATGGACCACATCAGTATCCAGAAAAAGTAAGTAAAACTGTGCTTTACTCTGAGCTTCAGTGTACCAGAATTCAGGGTTGCAGTGATGTTACTTTTTTCTCATGTGCAAGAGATGGCTTTTGAATAAAGCACTCTTGCAATTAACGTGTGATTATATATTTTAGGTTTAACACTAACGTGTCTTACCCTGAAAACATATGTTTTGATTGTTGATAAAATTTCAATTAGATACTTGTAGCTTAAGTGAATTTTATGACAGCAACTTTGATTTGTGATTTTTCTATTTTTCAAAGGATATTTTGACAGAGTTCCTGTACAAATTACATTAACTCGCATCATGTTCTGTAATTGTGAAACATTTCAAAGGGAAATTTCAAATTGTGAAACATTTCATAAGGGAAACATTTCAAAAAGTAAACTGAGAATACAATGTCTGGTATAGAAAGGGATGTTCCAACCTGCACAGAAAATAAGTAAGATGGAGCTATAATATTCATATATAAGGTGAGAAGTAGTGTAAAGTGACTTTTCTTTGCTTGTGTTCATACAGACCTTTCAGGGTAACTATTTAAAACAGTTATTTGTGAGAAGGAGTTGCCTTTTTAAGTCAATACCTGAATCTGCTTGGTTAGTGAATGGAATTACATTGTTGAAATGAAAGTAAGCATCACATGTACTCTTTGGAGTTTGGTATTGGTGGAAAATGTAGCTATATTTTACAGTTTTATGGAAGTGTTTTTTAATTTAAATTGCTTTTTACCTGTTGTGAGTTTTTTTTCCCAAATACATTTATTTTCACCTGCATTATTGCAGGTGGATAAGCAATGGCTCTTAGAGTACATTTTTCATTGATCTGTGTCTTTCTACACGTTGCATGATTGCTAGGGCTATAGTCAGGGGATATATTTGCTTGCTTTTGACTTGCATATATTCTTCTTCACATACCAAATTCTAGTTACTGCTAAAAACACAGCACAAGGCTACATGAATCTTTCGTTTTATCTAGTATTCTGCTCCTGTGTTTAGAGTAGGAAGTTAAATGTAAGTAGTTTGAGTAGTTTTCTAATGGCTTCAGTTTAAGGACTTTAATAGTGGGGGCAACTGTTCTGAAGTATCTATGGCATTGTGAATGGATCTAAGCTTTTAGATGAACATAATGTAAATCTTTGTGCAGCAAGCACACTGTCACTTGATCTGTGTTATGTTAAAATTCTCTGTTGATTCTCTTCCAAATTTAACTACTTTAACAACTCTTTGTTTCTAGATTTACTGCAGTTTGCTGGATGTTTAAACCTTGTTCTGAACAGTTGGTAATAATTATTTCTAGTTAAGACTCTGACGCAGTGCCGTGTGCAAAAGTAATGGAAACTTGTTTTATTTTTGAAAAACTGTTACATTTGTAACAGCCAGAAAGATAAGGTTTACAATATAACAGACGCATCTGCTCTTACAACCAAAATCCCTGCAGTTTCTAGGCTTGATACATTCTTTCATTATTTTTAATAAAACTTAGAAATATTTAAAGATCTTATTAAAATACTTAATGCTACGTAACTGTTGAAGTTCCTCATTCTTGGTAGAATAACAGCTTCTAAAATAGTGGAGTAATTTTTTTGTCGTTGTTCAATTCCTTAGGTTATTCCAAAGTTCATATCTTTGTTGCAACAGAACAGAAAATGGTAGGTAAATTACTTTTTTTTCGTAGTATTTGTTCTAGAAAACTGTAATTTCAGTTATAAATATGTGCTAGTTTGTAAAATTATAATTATATAACAAAGTTCTGAATCACTTATTTTAATAGTAGGATTTCCTTAAAGTAAAGGATTGTTTGCATGTCCACTACTTAAGATACCTTCAGGCACCCATCTAACATCAATACTGCTTAAAACACAGTCCAGTAAATTAAATGTAACTATTTGAGGACTAAAAATATTTCCTTGTCTTTTTCTTATCTTAAGCTGTATTCACGGTTCTGGACTTCAGAGAAGGAATTTCCTTTATGCAACTGATGTGGTAGAAGCATTCCTTACTGTCCTGAAGGAGGGGAAACCAGGTGAAATTTATAACATTGGAACTAACTTTGAGATGTCCATTGCCCAGCTTGCGAAGGAGCTAATCCATTTAGTGAGTAAAGAGTTCTGATGCTTTTCTTTATTGGTTTTCATTGCATATATGAATAATTACACAGACCTTTTGTAGCTCTGAAAGAGCTTATGGTGGGTGTTGGAAGATCCTTGCAGCAGAATGATGTGCCACCCTTTCTGTGGCAGCTGGACTATGTAAGTTTGTAGTATGGGCTATTCTGTGCTGGGTTGCTGTGTCAGTTATCCTGACTGGGTTATATCCTGACTGTCATCATGCTTAATTACCATTGTTTTCCATGCTGATTGCTTCAGCTTTGGTCTGAGAATGTGGCACTATTAAAATCTAACAGTTGGATTATGGATGTTCTGGCATTGTTCTGGATGAAGGAGATGGGTTGGAGATGTTCTAGATAATTTTGGTGGTTTGAAGACTCAGTTTACAAAAGACCATTTCTGTTTGTGGTTTATATATTTTTATTTGGTGGGTGTTTTAAACAAGATATAGGTTTGTTAAGAAAAAAAAAAAAAGGTTTTTAAATACATATTTAGATAGCCCAAGATGTATGGGAGTGATATTTGTTTTTTCTTCTTGACAGATAAAGAAGACCAGTTCAGAGTCTGAAATGGAGCGCTGGATGGATTATGTCAAAGACAGGTGAGGAATGTGGAGAACATGCAGGATGTGCTGCACATGCAGGATAGTTTTGTCCTGCAGGTTTTCTGAGACTCTTAACCAAATAGTTTCTGTGGAAGTGTTTCTGCTCTAAAGGAGGGAACACTTTTGAGGGACTAAGAGCTGTTTTGCTTCCTTATTTTTTTTTTTTTTTAATAGTGGATTTGACATCTACGATCAGGGTTCTGTATAGAAAACAGATTTTTCATTTATTTGGATCTGTAGGTCAGAATAAATGTCTTTAAGGTGAACATGTAATGCTAATCTGTGTCTTCACACATTCTTCATACTTGTCATTACAGATGTCTGCTCTGGGAAGAGGAAAAGTTTTACAGAGCAACTAAATCTTTCCTTCTTGGTAGTTCCAACAGTTTATTCAGTGTGCTTTTTATTCAGGATCACTGAGTGAGATGAATTCCATCATCTCTCGCTTAGCTGTAGTATTTTGGCAGTAATGTGACTAATTCAGACTTAGATCTACTTTGTCATAAGACCCAGTCTTCCTCAGGCAGAAATATGTGCCTGTGGAGTGTAGTTAGCTTTAGATTTCTATCTTAAGCTGAAGCTGCTATCTCAAAAGTAGTTGTAAAGCTCTAAGGTACCAAAGTTAGGGCAGTGAAAACATGGATAACTTTTATAGATATGCTTTTGCTGTGTGTTTCCGTCCTTAATTTCAGGCTTGGTTTAGCTCTGCTCTTTTATATCCATTTCTTTTCTGCAGCAACAATGAATCTCTGCTTACTTTAGATATCACTCTCTCCAGAGTGATTAGGAATGATGTGTCTACTGATAGCAGTTAAGTATTATGGCCTTTAAAATTTTTCCTTTCTGCTCACATTTAGATTGCTATTATGGCAACTGAAGTGTTCTTAAAAATGTGCTAACTTTTGTTTTTAAAAGGAAATGTTCTTCAAAATCCTATCTCAGTGTATTACAAGGACTTTGAACAAATTGCCTTTGGCTCATATGATGTGAGTGTTTAGAAGTTCTCAGTGTAATTCACTTTGAGATGTGTCTTTGTGTGTATTGGGCCCTGTCTGCAAATAAATAGGCTTGGGAAAATTAACCACATAGGAATAGGTCTTTCAGGAGTGATGAGGTCTTGTCAGAATTTGTAAATATACCTAATTAATGACTATATAATTCTACAATGAGCGATTTAAAGGTCATGGGGGTTACTTGCTATGGAAAAATTAGTTCTGCTTCTGCTTGAGATTAGCATGTTACAGTAACAGTGATAAGTGCTGTTTGTGCCTGCACATGTACCTTGACTATTCAATATGCCGGTGCTAGACTAGGCTACCAGACTGTGGAAGTGGAAATTTCTGCCATGCTTAAACATCAGATGTATCTTTCTGTGTTGAATCTTGCAACTTGGGATTCTGCATATTCAGTATTACAAAGTTCATGTAGCTAATGAGCTGCTGTAATGATGCCCCTTTGGAAGCCTGTGTGTTTTAAATCTGAAATATGTGTAAGTTTGTGGGTTTTCAGGATAAAACCCGTAAATGCTAATATTAGAAAGCACTGGCTCTGTGTTGCAAATGCACTCATTTGCACAAATGCATTGGCAGTGATTTTTGTGTTCATTTTTGTGCCAGTAAAATACTAATTAATATTTATTCTAGTCAATTTCAAGTAGTTGACTGTACAAACTGAATTGTGTTGTTGTAGCTGCACTCAGCTGCCACATATTTTTTGAAGGCAACGCAACCTGTTTATGTTGATGAGAATTTTCAAAATTGAAGCATATCTAATGTTCCTTGGAAGACAGTGTGAGGTACTACATCTCTAATGAAGGAAATAGTATAATCAGATTGTTTTCTGTGTGCATTACACTTCATCAGGCCTACAAATGACCTCAGATATCCAATGAGTTCAGAAAAAATGCACAACTTAGGATGGAGACCCAAAGTGCCTTGGAAAGAAGGAATAACGAAAACAAGTAAGACTGATGACTTTTACACTGATTTAGGAGTGACGGGAGGAGGGAGAGGGAAAAGGGGGAAATGGATATATTGGTTAGTTAATGAGAAGCTGAAGAGATTGAATGTAACACTTGAATTTTGCATAAATTAGCTGCTTTCTAAATAGTGAATTTACATTACACAAAAGAAAAAAGATGATTAATTTTGTAGTGCTAGAATAAGTCTCTTGCATAATGAGCTTATAAAGTTTAAACTAGATTTCTGTAATATTATTGCTTAAAAACTTCCATAATGAACAATTAGTATGTTGTTAGTCTTACATCTGTGGAATATTTGGATTTCCCTGTTACCTTTGGTCAGCTTGACTCATCAATATTCTTTCCATATTAGTTGAATGGTACAGAGAAAATTTCCACAACTGGAAAAACTCGGAGAAAGCTTTGGAGCCCTTTCCTGTGACAGACCCATTTGTCCAGCTCAGTGGTCCATAGTGTGGCACAGAACCTGAAGGAGTTTTTTCTACCTCATATGGTCTTCTCTTCACAGCCTGCAATCAAATGGCCACATGGACTCTGGATGTGTTCAAGATACACAAACCATGATGAGTAGAACCACAGTATGGCACAACTTTGGGATGGTTTCAGCACTTTATAAGTTGAACCTCTTAGTTTCAGCTTGCAGTGCAATACTCTATTCTCACTAGGTGTTGATCTTAAAAAACTGTATGGAGTGAAGAATATTTATTATGTTATAAATTAGTGTACTGAAGTAAAATCTGCCTTATTAAGAATAATTAACTGTGATTGCAGCTTTTGGGACTTGGAGTTAAATTTGTTTTAGTCCTGGAATTATTTGTCTGTATTAGTTTGTTTTTACAGTGTAATACATATAATTTTTTGTCACTTCAAATAATTAGGTTTTATTTTTAATCAAGTGGAGAAATGATATCTTTTTTGGAGATTATAAATTGATTGACAAAAGCTGAACACAGCACCTGTATGGTTCCGTCCATATCTCTGCTGGCGCACTTTTAGCTTTTGTAGTTGACTGATTAAACTTACCTACTTCATAACTTTAAATGCCCCTTTTTAAGGGGAACAAGGGGGGAATGATGTCAAGAAGTAGCAGGTGTTCTCGCTGTGATTTCCAGAAGTATTTCCTTAAATTTTCTACTCCTTTTACTGTATTATTGTCTATTACATGTTAACTCCTTTTTCTTCACTATAATTGTAGCAAACTTGAAATACTGGAACACAGTTAACATTCCAATGGTCTTATTTCCTGTGATATGAAGGCTACTTAGGGAGAAAATTTTTTTAAACTCTTTATCTGTAAATTGTGGGTTGGCAGACCTTAATCAATGCAGTGTATCAGCATTTTTTCTGTAATAAACATGTTAAAGATAAAACAATATTTGAGTTTTAATATAAAATTTGGAAAAAACTCTGTAATTCTAGAAATATGTCAATGAATTCTGTTCAAAGTTGATTTAGTAATAAATATGATGGTGTAACTGGTTTCTCTTAATTAAGAAGAACATGCTGATATAGTAGATGGTGGGTTTTTAAAAAAAAAAAATTTCTTAGCTTTTCCTCTATCCTGAAAATATTACCTTCACTTTTTTGTCGTTGAGGTGATCTGGCAAACATAAAAAGGACCACTGTTGGTTTTATCACTTCAGCTTCTGTAGTTGACCCAGTCCCTGATCCTTTGTGGCCCCTGGGCAGAGCTGCAAGTGGCACAGGACTGGGATGCTGTGGTATACTCAGAAATAGCTGTGACTTCTAAAGGGTCTCAGAAACTGGGATACAGCTCTTGAAACACAAGTGTTTCCAACTTCATCACACCTCTTGTGGTGCATGGTGCTGTTGATAAAGTGCCACTTGTGGCTGGCAAGAGTCACTCTAAAAGAAGGCTAATCAGGAAGTTTCTAGGCTCACTGCAGTGCCAAGTATTTTGAAGTCTAGGAGCCTGTTATTGAAGGTGAGTTTTCTGTGACACAGTGGGATAATAATACTAGAATTGTGTAGCAGTTACTGATGCTTGATTTGGAAGTAAAAGGTTCCATTTGGAACAGATAGAAGTTACAGGATTTTGTATGTAATGATCTGTCACATACTTGGCTTACCAGATATGCTTCTATGGATGAATCACTGAAATGTCGTTGTCAAAACACACGTTGCTGACTGTATTCAAAGATTTCCTTAATTTTTGTACTTTTCTTGATATATGGCTTCCTTGCCATGTGCATCCTTCCTTATGATATCCATCTTACTGTTCTGTATTTTGTGAAAGTCAGTACCAGAAATAGCTAAAGTGCTGGAAAGATGTGTCTTAGCTGTATTTGTGATTGCTGTGAGAGCTGCTTTAAGTGAGTTCCATGAAAATGTGTCTTTCACATCTCCTTATACTGGAAAACTGTGTTGTGTTTTTAAGAGTAGAGATTACAGATAACTAAAATATTAGTATTTTAAACATGCATAAACCTTTATCTAAAAATATTTTAAACCTTTGTAAATAGCTACAGTGTCTTTGGAACACTAAAAACAGTGTTATCAAAAGTACACAGAGGAAAGCAGTAGGGGGTGGTTGGTTTGTTGAACAGAACTTTTGAAAGTTGTTCTTAATGTATAGATGCTGAAGATGCAAGCACTGCTATTTATATGACTAGCCAGAGAAGTGATATTACCTGGAGTAGATTTTCAATAGGATCTATTAATTTTTTAATGAAAGCTGTTCTAGCCTATTTAAATGTTTTTTGAAGATTTAATTCATCCAAGATTTTTTGTGTTGCTACTTGTAAATATATAAATAAATGTACATTTTAAAATATTGAAATGTATATATTTAAGAAATGTAGGAGGCTTTTGCTTTGAAATACTTTACTGTAGATCAGATTTTGTTAGCCGGTGAGTGATCTGGTAGGAGCATTTCTTTCACAGGGAAAAGTGTTTTCTGTTATAGAAAACAGCTTATTTTGCCATTAGCCTTCTGGCTTCTGTAGGAAGAAAAGGACAAGGATCAACTAGTGAACTGTCAGTAGAGAAGTGTGATGCTTTCAGGTTTAATTTCTCACTGAATTTACTGGGGGAAGCATTTCTGGAGAAGGCAGAGGTAGTGATGTAAAATACTGTGAACACTGTAAGCTTTCAGTCTATTATTTCAAGGTTTGTGTCATGGAGCAAAGTGAGGCCACACCAGTAAGAAAATAAATGGAGTAAACGTGTATTTCACTTAACTGCTAAAATTTTCTAAGGAACGACGGCTGGACTTTGGCAAAGGTTTTGGTTCCGTTTCTGTCAGGAACTTGGGAAGTTAACTGGGAATTGCTGTTAGTTTGCATCTCTTTTTGGGATTACTATTCTGAATTGGATCAGACCTTTGGGAAACAGCTCCTGAAATCTAAGTAGTGGGGACCTGTCATTGACTCATTTGTGACATCCAGTGCCACATGGTTAATATCTATCTTGTGCATTGGGGAAGACCAACATTACTACCTCATTGTCTTGGTGTACCACAGCTCCTATTCAGTGCATCCCTTGCCAGCAGCAAATGAAAGGATTTGGGAGACATTGAATTGGGCAACTGAGGCAGGGCTGTCTGTACTCACAGAATCAGAGGGGTTCAGCTGGAAAAGTACCTTAAAGATCACCTAGTTCAAGCCCCCTGCCATGTGCAGGGACACAGAGCCTCATCCAACCTGGCCTTGAGCACTGCCAGGGATGGGGCAGCCACAGCTGCCAGCAGTGGCCTGTGGGGTGTTTGTGGTGTGTGTGTATCAGCTCCACTTTATGCAACAAAGATAACCCTTACTTTCTCCAAGGCTTTCTCTGGTCTGACCTTGGCACTTGCTTAAATTTGTGTGCTGCATGCATTAAGGGGTGTCAGCTGTGGTTTAAGCTGGTTTACACTTAAACACACATGTCATAAGATGATGGACTAGAAAATACCTTTAGTTTGTCCACCCTGTACTTGCTTTGATGTAGGAGAAAGACTGGGTGAAAAATGTGGGCTCTTTTTGTTTGTGATTTTTTTTTTTTTACTCATAATGCTCCATTTTGCTGTAACTGTGTTCTTATGCTCATTAGACGGGAACAAAATGCAAATATCTTTCTACAGAAGGAGGAACTTTTAATACAAACCCCCTTGCCAAATTCTGTTAGGGGAAAAGCTGACTCTTTTATTAAATATGCTATGTCTGAGACTAAATTGTCCTTCTCTTTTATTTTGTTTTGCATTACCTTTAGTTTTTGTTTTTATTCCCATTGTCATTCCTATTTCACCTGGCAAAACACAGATTTCTAAAAATAAGGATCAGAATAACCCATTGCTCCATAGTACCTCTGATTGTTGTGGTAATGTATTAAAACTCTTAAGTCAATAGTGTTTTGACTTCTGTGCATGCCGTGACACATTTGGAGTTTATCTTCACCAAAGATCACAGATTGTGTTAGCTGCATCAGTAGGAGACTTTCTTGTTAAGGGATTACATTCATCATTTCTCAGCAAAACAATCATTGCCAGTGGCAATGGAAAATCATGAGAAGATGAGATTTTGTATCAGTATGTTGTTCACACACCTCTTAAGCACAAGTGTGGGTGGATTTTTTTAACCTCTCCCTAAAGGATTTTTTTTTTGTGAGGAGTTTTTGGTTTCAGTCACTAAACTGCTCGCTCAGTCCTTAGCCTTTGTACTTCTCAAAACAGGTATTTGACCCCTGAAAACATATCAGCTCCTGAAGAACTCACAAATGTGGGACAACGTGAAGAGAAACACACTCTGAAAAGAAAAGGAAACGGTGATTTATGTTACCAAATATTCCCATGGCTGGCTTGGGCTGAGGCTGCTTATTCCCCACTTGAAAAAGGAGGGGTTTGTTAAATTCCTCTGGTACTATGTGAGAGAGCCTTGATGTTTTTACTAAAAGGAGGGAGCATCAGGGGACAATTTTGCAAAGCAGCCTCTCTCCTCTCAGAGTGTGTAGAAAGTGTGAGTAGGAGATGCCCTCACAGGTGGCTTTTCCTAGACCATGGGCTGTGCAAATCAGCACAAATTTGAGATGCCAGTGCCCACCGCAGGCAATAACGTGGGCACTCTGAGGCATCCTCTACCTTTACCCTGTAGCCACAGACGTGTGCTACTGGTTGCCTGTTGAAATCAATGCCTAATCAACAACGCGAATGTAACTATTTTTTTCATATTACACTACTTAGGATTTGTGATTTATGTGGACACAGGGAGCTTCTCCAGTGGAAGACCATGGACACAAGAAGGTGCAGGTGCCCTTCATGTTAATGTATTTTTATGACACCGTCATCTCTGCACACGTTTTGTCAGGCTTTAAAATAAAATCCCTGAAAATGGAAGGTAAAATGTTGCCAATTTAATGCTCCTGAGTCTCACATAATATTCTAGTTCCTGTTATCTCCCCCAATAATCCGGGGAGCCACTGCCAAAACACCTTCACTCTGACATGTGTGCTGTGCATAGATGTTTGTATATGCGTAATTTTGTGTTCCTGCTGATTTGTCTTTAGCTTACGGTATCATTTTGTTTGCGGGGACCTGTCATTGACTCGTTTGTAACATCCAGCGCCACACAGCTAATAATATTTATCTCAGACTATTGGGTGCGGGTGTGGCAGAACGGATTAGTGTTACCTCACCGCAGAAATGGCAGCACGGCAGCCGAAATAGCTCAGTTGGGAGAGCGTTAGACTGAAGATCTAAAGGTCCCTGGTTCGATCCCGGGTTTCGGCAGACGCCTTTTCCTCTTTCTCCTTTTCCTCGCCCTGCCCGGGAGGTGGCGGGCGGCTGCCGCGGCGGGGCCGCCCGCGGGCTCCGAGCGCGGCGGGAGCCGGCCCGGCCTGCGCCGGGGCTTGTGCGGCACCGGGAATTGCCCTGCCGGGCTCCTGGCGCAGCGTGCCCTGCCTTCCTGTGTCCACTTTCAGCTGCTCCAAGTTTAAGCTTTTATTTAAGGTGGAAGAAATGAAAGCAGCGAGCTTCATTCCCGGCCCCTCCTCTGCCCTTCTGTCTCTCACGGCGGCAGGGACGAGGGAAGAAAAAGTGAAACTGCGGGAGGAGCGGGGCGACCGGCAGGGAAGGGACAGAGAGGGAAAGAGCAGCTCTAAGGGACTGGGACGGGGACAGGTGAGACAGAGTGAAAATTTAACAAGGTAAAAATCTATTTAAATTTAAGTGAAATGTGCTACTTTATGCTTGCTAAATATGCTGTTTAATCTAGTAACTACAGCCCTAGCAAAACTAAAGAGAAAAAATGTAAATTTCCACACTAAAAATAAGAGATAAGAAAGACTCATCAGATCTTGAAACAGACAGGGCAGAGTAACCCAGGAGTTCTTTCTGTACTTTCTGACAAAAACAGAGTACAAGTATAGCTAGCTGTAAGTGTAATGCAAAATCAGCAAAATAAATATGCATTAACTTATTGTAATATTCTATGCATATAAAAATTAGTAAGGGTAACGAAAAGGAATCAAGTGTTCTCAAAAG